AGAGTATCTTTGAAAAAAAATACTGCAATATTGACTAATAGATTCCAGTTAGAAGTGTATTAATGTTTGCTCCACTTTATGTTTTTTTTTTTTTTTTTTTTTTTTTTGTAACTTGGAATAAATGATCTGCCTATCAATCCTGTATACCTTAAAGCCATAAAAAACAGAAACAGACGATTTCCTAAACACTTAACCATAAATGCATTCATTAAGTGTTCAGCTTGTGCCTCCATGTGGAGAAAGAAGAAAGACTAAATAACAAAAACTCAAACCTGATACCAATCCGACCTACTTGTTATATAAGACTATATCAGGTCTCCATACATAACTACCAGGTATACGGATGGTATCAAGTCCGTCATAGTTATCCTTATTCCAGGTGAGATACTTGTCAACCCACACCTGCCGTATCCACAAATACGCCGTCAGAATCTGGTTACGCTCGTCCTGGAACAGAAGCGGATCAGTCATGCAGAGATTTTAGTCCAGTGAAACATTATAAATCATTCAAAATGCTATTTCTTGTCTTTGAATAATGTGAATAATGTGTTTCAGTAAATTTATGGGCAAATACAATTCCATTAAGCTTTTGTTTGGCCAGTTTACAATCTCAATTGATTGAATGGCATGCATAGTATAATAGAGCATGCTATTTAAAATCTTCACTTCACCAGTTTATTTAATAAACTTGGCATCACTAACTCAACTTAAACAAAAAATTGCAATATATTATGCTTTATTTGGCCAATAATACTCCAAATATATTAAATATACAGTATGTCGGCATTATTTTGGAAATTATAATTCCTTTATTTCCTTACTGAATAACTCATTTCTCAGCATTCCTGATGCTTATCTGTGTTTTCCAACATGTTCTACAGTGTCCTCATTTCTGTCAGGCTGTGGTTTTATGTGGCCGATTACCATGTCGATGATTTGAGATAGGGTGATCTGAAGCGTGACGTTGAGGATGTCTTCTGTGTCCTCCACTGGCCTCAGTGCACTTGTGTAGTTGCCAAATAAATCACTGAGCAGTTTCTGGGCGTATTTCCCACTGGCACTCCAGCAAACTGGAATGAAAGAAAGATATTTGTTTTACAGATTCAGAAGTCTCTTATGCTCAGTAAGCCTGCGTTTATTTGATCAAAAATACAGTAAAAGCAGTAATTTTATGAAATATTTTTACAATTTAAAAGAACTGTCTGCTATTCAAATATATTTTTAAAATGTAATTTATTCCTGTGATGGCAAAGCTGAATACATCTGTTGAACAAGGATGCATTAAATTGGTCAAACGCAACGGTAAAGACATTTATAATGTGGATAGGGATAAATCAGAGCCACATGACAGCAGTTGTGTGACGGATAACACATGTCCGCATGGCAGATGGCTTAATAAAGAGGAGTGGAGCGAAGAGATTACCCATCTGAATACAACATCAGAAAAGATTGAGTAAATCTGGCATTAAGCAAGTTGAGTTGATATACTGCTGTTGGATATTTACACCGTTATTCGCCGGGAAGAAAAAGTATAGTTCATGAAACACACTTTGACCCTCTGTGACAACATGCCCCAGAAGCCTACAGTACAACATGGTCTCTCACTATAGGATTACATACATACATAGTGCAGAGTTAAATTCCTGCACGAGAGGAAAAGGATTATTTAGTGAAACCATGAGAACATTGAACACACAGATATGGACTTTGCCAGATGACAACACACGGTAGGCAATATATAAAAATCACTAAGTTTTGGGAATCAATACAGTCAATGGAAAATGATGAGTCTTTTGACCAAACATCAGACACATAGGCCTATTCAATATGTATAATTTTTAGAAGATTTAAGACCTAATGGCTAAAAATGCCACAACAGATGCGAACAGAAACCGACAACAGCTCAAAGACTGATATGTAAGAATGTATTACCTGGTGTGAGCATTAAGCAGAAGACCAAAAAGGCAAAACATTGAACATTCTTGACAGTCATCTTCTTTGGCTATGGGGCAAAAAATGACAGGTGAATAGATATTTGATTCATTGAAGATCCAGTCCGGTCAACTGCAGAGGACAGCTGCTGTATGAAAGACAATAAAGCATGGACACTAAACCGTTTAATCCTCCAAACAGAGCACATGTGTAATCCAGGCTCTGTGCATCACTCTATTTGATACCGTATTATATAGCTACAGTATAAAGATAATGCCCACTTTTAGCTAAAATTTAGTTTCATGGTTTATTTTGATTGCAGATTTGTGAACAACAGACTTGAAAACAACAAGCTGTTAAACTATCAAGCAGTTTAAGCATGATTACGTGAGGTGTTTTTCCAAATATATCCACTGGATGGCAGTATTTGCTCATATATAAAATGGAGAACCTTGTGTATTACCACAACAAACTGAAGCTTTTTTTTTATTATCCTGTCGTCTTTATGTTAGAAGGAAGGAAGCATGTGTGTTTAATCTGATCAGATATATTTGAAAGTTTATTGATTGAAATATTTGGTAGTCACAGCACAGGTCCAAACAAAGACGGGCGTGTTTTTTGTGTTTGGTTGAGGCCATAACACTGTTTTGACTGTTAAATTCACTGGCCTGTGGTCAGGATTTAAGTGAATGAAGAGCAGTGTTTGCTTGAGAGAGTAAAACTGTAGCAGAGCAGTCTCGTACGAGTCTAGTTCGTTTTAGCCTACTTTCAAATCACACTGAGGCAAACGCAATACCATGTAACTCTGGGAGATGGAGGATCAAAGCTGCTGTGATGTGTGTGTGTGTGTGTGTGTGTGTGTGTGTGTGTGTATATATATATATATATATATATTTAAAATTAAAATATTTTATTTTATTGTGGCTATTTTATTTTATTGTCTTATTTATTTTATTTTATTATTCTTTTTTTATTCTTTTTTTCTTTCGTTTTCTTTTATTTAATTTTTTCCAGCTAGAAAGTTTCTGATCTGACCACAGATTTTTTTTTTTCATTTTATTTCATTCTATTTTATTTGTGTTCTTTTATTGTTTTATTTTATCATTTTGTATATATATATATATAGGCTATACGAAACAACGAAATATACGAAACAACGTATATATATATACGAAACAACGAAAATAGAATTAAATGAGTAATATGTAATAATATCAATCATGATATTATTACATATTACTCATTTAATTCTATTTTCGTTGTTTCGTTCTCCCGCGAGATGTCTCAGACATTTACCTACAACAAAACGAAACTGCTGCAGACTGTGCCTGAAATAGCTGAGGATTTACAGGAGGGAAGTGAACATTTCTCGTTTCTTCTGCTCTCACTTACAAGAGAATTGAAAATCAGCACAAAAGAAAGTAAATGGAAAGAATGAAAATCGCTTCATAAGCAGTCACAAACTCATCTCCCAAACGTGCGAAAAGAAAAGAAAAAAAAAGAACCTGAAACCAATGAGTTTCATGTTTTGTAATCGTGAGGTAAGGGTATAAAGCACAGGTTTGCATAAACGGTTCCTCATTTTATTAATGTGAGCAGAAAAGTACTACAGTCAGCATTTTATTGAAAACCTTTAATATTGTGGCAGTGTATGTGAAATTGGCCTGAAGTGGCACAGAATTTCCTTCTTGTGTTTAACTTCAACAGCATATGATTTAAACACTAAATTCTGCAGTGAGGTTGCAACTGCAAGCAAGTCTCAAGATTAAATGTCTATATGTAAGATATTTTTATCTGTCAAGGTGTGCTTTCTTGATCCAGAATATTTGGATTGTTAATCATGAATTGACTGATTCACAAACTGATTAATCAATATAACCTAAAGGATTATTAGGAACACCTGTTCATTTTCTCATTAATGCAATTATCTAATCAACCAATCACATGGCAGTTGCTTCAATGCATTTAGGGGTGTGGTCCTGGTCAAGACAATCTCCTGAACTCCAAACTGAATGTCAGAATGGGAAAGAAAGGTGATTTAAGCAATTTTGAGCATGGCATGGTTGTTGGTATTTTGAGCGTGGCATGGTTGTTGGTGCCAGACGGGCCGGTCTGAGTATTTCACAATCTGCTCAGTTACTGGGATTTTCATGCACAACCATTTCTAGGGTTTACAAAGAATGGGAAAAAGATCCAGTATGCGGCAGTCCTGTGGACGAAAATGCCTTGTTGATGCTAGAGGAGAATGGGCCGACTGATTCAAGCTGATAGAAGAGCAACTTTGACTGAACTAACCACTCGTTACAACCGAGGTATGCAGCAAAGCATTTGTGAAGCCACAACACACACAACCTTGAGGCGGATGGGCGACAACAACAGAAGACCCCATTGGCTACCACTCATCTCCACTACAAATATAGGAAAAAGAGGCTACAATTTTCAAGACCTCACCAAAATTGGACAGTTGAAGACTGGAAAAATGTTGCCTGGTCTGATGAGTCTCGATTTCAGATGGTAGAGTCAGAATTTGGCGTAAACAGAATGAGAACATGGATCCATCATGCCTTGTTACCACTGTGCAGGCTGGTGGTGGTGGTGTAATGGTGTGGGGGATGTTTTCTTGGCACACTTTAGGCCCCTTAGTGCCAATTGGGCATCGTTTAAATGCCACGGCCTACTTGAGCATTGTTTCTGACCATGTCCTTCCCTTTATGGCCACCATGTACCCATCATCTGATGGCTACTTCCAGCAGGATAATGGACCATGTCACAAAGCTCAAATAATTTCATATTGGTTTCTTGAACATGACAATGAGTTCACTATACTAAAATGGCCCCCACAGTCACCAGATCTCAACCCAATAGAGCATTTTTTTGGGATGTGGTGGAACGGGAGCGAAAGGGGGTCAAGCAGTATTATATGTCCTAATAATCCTTTAGGTGAGTGTAGTTTTAATCATTGGCAACTTAGAAGTGGAGAACATTTAAAGATAGAGAAACAGAAAGTGATTTGAAACTGCATGGAATGGTCAACATGACCTATTTTACATTGAACACTGAATCAAATATTCCTTTAAAAATAATTCGTTTTTATTTTTATTTTAATATATGATCATGCATTATTCACCATATCTACAATGTTTTATTTCTTTTATAACAGTGAACCCTTAAAACATATTTCGACATGTAAGTCTCACTTACAAAATGTAAGTTCATAATATAGGCCTAACAAAATATCAAACATCTGCAATAAAAAATAACATGAAAATAAAAACAATAATTAAGAAAAAAATGCTTGCACTTGCACCCATAATGTGTCCAAAAACATACTTATTAATCTAATTATTTTGCATAGTATTGTTTTATAGTTTTATTTGAAACTTGTTTATATATATTAACATTCTTCAATATTCATTTGTGAATTAATATTCTTGTTTTGTACTGTATTTTACTTTTTTTAAAAGATTTTTTTATATATATGTATTTTTTATTTGTGATTATCATTTTACATGTGATAAAGCAAATAGCCCATATAACAATATACATATGTTAAGGTCCCATCAGATTCATAACAGCGTGCATGATTTCTTGGAGGCCTTTGGCTTGGGGTGGAGGAAGGTGCGAACCGCTTCTGTAAACACCTCCTTCACCCCGTCCTGGTTGAGCGCTGAGCACTCCATGTATTTACTGGCCTGGATTTGTCGGGCCAGCGCCGCCCCCTGCTGCTGGGACACCACGGACAGGTTCTTCTCTTTCAGCTTCTTCAGCACCTCTTCATCATCTCTCAGATCTTTTTTAGTCCCCACCAGCAGGATGGGCACCTGGGGACAGTGTTCTGACACCTCGGGGTACCACTTTAGCTTGACGTTCTCGTAGGACGAGGGGCTGGTGACGCAGAAGCAGATGATGAAGACGTTGGTCTGTGGGTAAGAGAGGGTCCGGAGACGGTCGTATTCCTCCTGTCCCGCGGTGTCCCAGAGGTTCAGGCTGACGACTTTAGATTCTACCGCCAGCTGTGCGCTGTAGTTGTCAAATACAGTGGGAATGTATTCTTTGGGAAAGGCGTTGGTGGTGAAGGAAATCAGGAGGCAGGTTTTCCCAACGGCACCGTCTCCCACCACGACACACTTGATGTTCTGCATTGTTGTTCTGCCTTCAGCTTCCAATAACTGAAATGTACACAAGGACCATTTACTGCATTGTTCTTTGATGATTTCAAACTTTCCCTGATTTGGAAGATCCCACATAAATCATGCTTTGGTAAATCTTAACTATGACATAAGTCATAATTCTGACATGGACATGAATTCTGACATCTGACAATTTTGAAAAATTGCACACTGTACCTTTAATGTCACAATCTCAATGTCATAAAGACTTTTATGTCACAATAATGACATAAGTCAGAATATTAAGTCAGAATGTCTCTTTTTAAGTCATAATTTCGACTCAGTTTTTCATAATTTCATCTTTTTTATGTCACAACTATGACTGTTTCAGTCATCTACTTTTCATCTCATAATAATGATTTAGGATTTCATAATTTCGACTTTTTATGTCATAATTGTGATTTACAAAAGCATGATTTTTTTTCTAATGTGGCAAAAATGGCCTTCCATGCTATGACTTGCATATACATGAGATATCTAGCAGAAACTAAACGCTAGACAACTCATGTTGTGTTCCATGCGAGATTTGACACACAAACACTGAATACATCAAACTAGAGTCATCAGTATTAGAAAAAAAACTATCATTCCACCATTCGAACGAACATATTCATGCTAGATGGTTGTGTAAATTATGCTTGAGTCAGATCATCACGTGCATTTGTGGTCAAAATGACCTCCCTTGATGCCCACAAAACATTACATTGTTGTCAATGACCTTTATTTATATCTTTCTGAGAAGAACAGTTGCGCAGAGCTGGTGGGGAAGTAATTCATCTCACAAGGGTGCCTGTCAGAAATAGTACAGTAATAATCTTGCAATATTCATCATAACATATGAGTATACACATTAGCTTGAAACAAATCTACATAAAAATAAAGGGGGGTTTTGAACAGTATAATGCCACAGAAGACCCATTTTGTTTCCCCAAAAGTGGAGTGGAGTGGGGTTTTGGGGTGTGGTCTGATGGGGCAGTGAACCCAAGGTTACCCCGTGAATCAGTCCTAGAGCTCCCCCTGTCCGATTTTAGGGGAAATCCATCGGAGACGTTCAATGGGTGCGCCAAAAGAACACCACAGACACAGTTTAATCCCCGTGGGAAATCTCAGAGTACAACTGGGAGTTGTGGAAAATATGATACTGGTGTTTTTTACTCATTTCATTTATTTTATAACTGTACTGTATCACATTTATAACTGTTTTAATATTCCTTGCTTTTATTTTCTGATTATTTTCCTTTCTGTAAAACACTTTGAATTGCCATGTATGAAATGTGCTATATAAATAAATGTGCCTTGCCAAATAGTTTTTCATTTAAAATAACCATTTTTCCTTAGTGTGAAGAACATTTTAATGTAATGTTTCATGGGTATCAAGGGAGGAATGTCAGTTTATGGCTCTTCAATGTAAATTATAAGATGATTTGGTACACAAAAAGGTACATTTAACAGTATTTCACTGTATAATTGAATAGTTTGTGTAAGGTTATAGTATATATATATATATATATATATATACATACAGAAACACACTGTTAACCAATTAACATGTTTTTACTGATGCATTGTTACAGTAAAAATTCCAATATTTTTTTTTTAGTGTACGCCTATATCATATAACAGGTTTAAGGGTCTAAAATAACTTTGCTGCCAAGAAGAAGTTCCTTTTTTTTTTTTTTTTTTTTTTTTTTTTTTTTTTTTAAAGAAACTAGACAAACTTAAAACTGTCCTGCTCACTGTTATAGGGGTCACGGACCGCCCACAGTCCATTCACCCATCGTTTGATTCAGACTGCACAAATGGGAAGTGTTAGTGTGAAAATCAAATCAACTGCAATGCAAATTCCGGGAGTCCGAGTGCATATGTTTTATAATAAATAAAATTTGAAGTTTTCCAGGTGCATGTTACATTTTTTAAGATATTCACTCCACATACTGGTGGCTGGATTTTGGCCTGGAGCAACCATAATAGATATTCACAAAGATATTCGCTGAATGGCACATATGGACAGAAATTGTGGGTCATCTCTTTACAGGCTGTCTAAGAATAAACTGCAAAGTGTTTCAAAGTGCCACAGTCATCAAATCAGTTTGTGTGCATCTCACCATTATTTCAGCTAAAGCTTTCCTCCTTTACAATCTTATATTATTATTTATCATCTAATAAATGAAATATTGTTTATCCAAATGCTACTGTACCCACACTGTAGAATGTCCATCACAAATAGTGAGTGATTTAATTAAGGTTTGCTTTTATTATTAATTGCATTTTAAACATATAAAATGTAAAATATCAATACAAAAACATAATTCAGTCAGAAAGCTGTATTTTAAAACCGCACAGAGCTTCATTTGAATATAGCAGAACAAAAAAAAAGACGTATCTGTCTCTAAATGACATCATTGCGTTCTTATCACTTTTCAAATATTCAAAGCAGAGATTAGATCTCGGTCTATTGAGAATGAAGCTTGACAGTAAGTTTGGGACAGATCGTCAAGGGAAAATACGAAATAAAACTCACCGTGCATCATCCAAAAGAGCGTCCAGGAAACTGTTTATAGTAGTCTGAATGAAACTGTCCCTAAAAACAGTGGCACGGGGACTATAGGAGGAAGTGAGCACAGCCTAGTGCACTGAGAGGAAGTCAGTGACACTAAAAGGCAAAGAGCCAATGGAGAAGTTCAAAGATGATGCAGGCCATAAATCAATGGGGTGTGTGTAGAAAAAGACACTTGTAAACTGTAAAAAAACAAACTAAAAAAAAAAACACAACTTAAAATGTAGTGTTATTTGTTAGATAACTCAAATATCCAATTTTAAGGCAGCACACATACTTTCAGAATACAAATTCAATGTATTCTAACGTTGAATTTGAAGTGTTATAAGTGCAATTGTAGCAGAATTTTATATATATATATATATATATATATAGAGAGAGAGAGAGATAGAGAGAGAGAGAGAGAGAGAGAGAGAGAGAGAGAGAGAGAGAGAGAGAGAGAGATGTCAAACTGAAACTAAAATGTGAACAAAATGTTAATAAATGTTAATTAATATTTTGCAGTGTCATTAAAAGGCCACTAGGGGACAGTGTCATCTTTTTTACAGAAACAAACACACTGCAGTCCCTTCACACAAAAAAGAGGTGCTTAGAAAAAAGAAAAGTGTCAGGAAACCACAGACACGATGATGTCAATGTTCAACCAAACTCTCAGTGCACTTATTTTTTTGGCAGCAGTCAAAGGCCCACTTCCAATGGCCTTCTATGCACTACTGAAAAATGTATTCAAGCTGTATAATTATTGACTATTTATTGTTGGTGATTAGGCAGAGTGATAATGATCAGGCAGATTTTTTTTTTAAATGATGATTATTAAAGGCCCAACAGCATTCTTCAATGTGTTGAGGTCATTTCCACTGAAACAGGAAGACAGAGTGGGACTGTCAGTGTTCTGTCACTTCTATATTGGTTTTGTGACAGAGCCCTGACCATAGTTTTGTGTGTCTTGTTTCAGGACGCTTTAGAGAGCATTTGATTGGACAGAAAATCTGACGAGAAGCTGAAGTGCATAATGATGTCATCAATCGCTTTATTTTCTTGTTTGATTAACATAGTCCCCATGAAATCAAAATTGATTTATTTTTTGGCTTTTTAGTACATGTTTTTTTTTTTTTTTTTTTTTTTTTTTACATTTTCTGTACTGAGTTTGTGGAAAATCTGCCGAATAAACCATTATTGAAACAAACTGAATCTAACTGACAGCTGAATGTTAAACACTGTTGTCTTGTTAGAGCTCTGAAACTGAAAATATATTTTCCTGTTTATCAATGTAAAGCTACTTTCTGTAATGTATAAAGCGCTAAATAAATAAAGGTGACTTGCCTTGACTTTATGCAGAAATCTGTGTAAAAAAAAAAAACAATGAAAGAAGAAGGTTAGATAAAGAGGTTAGTAAATTATTTTCTATGATTTATAGCACAAACAGCACTACCATGTGAGTATGGCACTACCAAGGTCAACTGATAAAATGCATATCTCATAAGTTGCTTTGGATGAAATTGTCTCTTAATGCATTAACAATAAGTTTCAGAGGAACAGTAATAAAAAGTTAGCATTTACTGTTTTTAAAGAAAAATAATTGATATTCATAAAACACCTAATATTAATAAATGTAGCATATTATTTTATTAAAATAAGTTATATAGTCTCATATTAAAAGTATTAAAATATTATCTAAATTAGACCATTTTATCATCAACATGCACCATGCTATATTTTCTAAATGTCATAATCATTTCTTAACAAACAAGTATTCAGCTCATTATCTGAAACTGAAATTAATACATTTTTAGCTAACTGTGACTTTGTATATTTGCATTTCTAAAATACTTAAGTTAATTACCTCTGATAACAGAACACCCAATTTTAATGTGGACTCTATGCATTTTCTGTAAAGCTGCTTTGAATTGATGTATATTAAAAAAGCGCTATACAAATAAACGTGAATTTAAACGTGAATTGAATAGAATAATAGTAATAAATATGATGCATGTGCAAATTTTTGATAAAAATGTTATACAGACTAGTCTTATATTAAAAATATAAAATATTATAACTAAATTATACCATTATTTAATTTAAATAGACCATTGTATAAAAAAAACAAAACAAAACAAACAACAACAAAAAAAACATAACAAATTACAACCTCCACAGTAGATTGTGTAGGCTAAATGGCAATATAAACAAACTAAATAATGAAAAATATCTGCTTAATGGAAAGCTACAATAAACTTTAATAAACAACAACGTTTACATTGAGGCTAGGCTACCAAATATAATGAATTACTACATTATAATATAACTAGCTACAGCCTGCATATAATATAATATAATATAATATAATACATAATATAAAAAAAAAAACAATAGAAGTCAGTGTAAAGTCGACACCATTAAATAAGCGTGTGTGTGTGGTGTGTGTGTGATTATGATAGTGTGGTGGTGGCAGGCAGAGTGTGATTAGCAGGGAGTGAGTGAGTGACTGCGCATGCGCCGCGCCGCAGACCGTGAGCCCGGCTTGAAACGAGGAGGAAGCGCAGCTCTATCGGCCTCTCTCTGCTTCTGTCGCTGACAGAGGACGAATAACTGCCGTATTCTCACACCGGCGGGACGGAGAACCGCGCAGAACCGTGTGTTGTTCGTGTGTTTTTGCAGTGAGTGTTTCAATACAAAGCCTCCATGGAGGCTGATGGGAGGAGAGAGCAGCTGAAGACGAACCTCAAACACTAGGACGGTCTAACACGAGGACCAGAGGTAACACAGCTCATTTTAAACGCTTTAACGTTTGGATTTGCTGGCTTTTACATTGCATATCTTTTCAGCGATGGACTTGGATGTTTATAAAGGGGGAAATGTGGGTGTCAGTGGCCTCGTGCCGCTACGAAGCCAGCTGCGCAATTCGGCCGCATGAAAATAAAGATACAGTGCCGCTGGTTATGAATCAGTTTACGTTTTTTATGACTGATTTTGTTAATCAAATGTGCGTTATGCAACTCATTACGTTATTAGTTCAGATATGCTCTTGAGCCGTTTAAACCCATACCTGAATATAGTTGCCTAACGTTACATAGGTTAATGTGTTAATTATTAATATTATTATTATGTGTTTGGTTTATGCTAACCTTAATATTGTGCATATAAAGCTATAAGTTCAGACCTTTTAGATGGAGAGTAAAGTCAATGACATAGTTTCAACTCATTTGCATAGTTGACAGGTGAGTTGACGAGTAACGCGATAACATTCTTTACACGTCATTGTGAAAACGTCAGAGTCCCCTGATAAAAACAGCAATTCAATTATAATTAAAAACAATTGTGTTTGGTGTTTACACTCTAAAATTGTCTATTTTGATTTGTGTTTTTGTTTTACTGGGGGTCAAATTAACCCTAAACAAAAACACCAATATATATATATATATATATATATATATATGAAGAGTTCAGATGCAAAAGCCTCTAAATGCCATTTGAAATTTTCTTCTTTAATGATGATTTTTTATCAAACTTGTATATTTAAGTTCAGTAATTTCACTTAAATAACAATTAATAGGTAATTATCATTGCCATTTAAGTGAAATTACTAAGTTTGATAAAAATCATCATTAAAGAAGAAAATTTCAAATGGCATTTAGAGGCTTTTGCATCTGAACTATTCATATATATATATATATATATATATAATTAAATTAGGGCTGTGCAAATATTAATTGTGATTAATCGCATCCAAAATAAAAGTTTGTGTTTACGTGACATATTTGTGTGTGCTGTATATAATTATTTTGTATATATAAATACCAATGCATGCATGTATATAAGAATTATTTGCGCTTAAATTCTGTAATATATATATATATATATACGTAATCCATATTATATAAATATAAATATTTTATATATGAATAACACATTTTCTTAAATATATACATGCATGTGTGTATTTATATATACAAAATAATTATATACAGCACACACAAATATTATGTAAACACAGACTTTTATTTTTGATGCAATTAATCGCAATTAATTTTTGCACAGCCCTAATATATATTTCTCAGAAATCTTTTAACAGTGCATTTAGCCTGCTTTGAGATCAGTAGGTCAGAAGAACGTGATAATTTGAAGGCAAAAAAATAATAACTTTTTAGGTTAAAGAAAGTGATTTATAACAAAGAATCTCAAATAATTGCCTCAAATGACTTCATTTTAATACTTTCAACACTCTTTCTTACCCGTCTTCACATTTATATTGTTCTGTTACCTGTCAGAAATGTGTTTAAAGTTTAGGTGCGGCCTATATTATTAATATTACAATATATGCATATACTTTTATTAAACATTATGATAATCCGAATACATATACATTTCTAGGCACCATTATTTAATACTGAGCAATGGACTTTTATCAGTATCTATCTTTTATTTTTTATTTTTTTGTCAGGCAGAGAAATAACTCTACTGAGCATGTGCAGATGCAGAATATGTGTCACAACTAACCTAGTGATTAAAGAGGAATAAGGTGCAACCCAATTTGTGTACTTATGCACTTTTCTATGCTGTTTTTTTTAGTATCAATAAATAGTGCACGTTGTGTGTTCACACTGAAACATCAGAAAAGTAAAAGTGCACTTTAAATGCACTTAATTAGAACCATGTGTGGAATTTTGGATGATTCATGCGCTCAACTGTCACACCTTTCTTTACATAGCGGAGGAGAAGGGGCTTTTAGTCTCTAACTTTGACAAAATAAGCTTAAATATGAAAATTCATACTCTACACTGAGTGCATAGTGCTTTATTCAAAGCAGTGGTGTGAAAGTGAGGCTGCAAGGGATAGACTTGCTGTGTTTTCAATGGCACCCGCTGCAAAAAAGCTGTATAAAGCTCTTAGATCACTTATCATTTCCTCTGTTCATGCTCTCTCCCTTTTTTTTTGTCTACTGAAATCTCTCTGGGAGATATGTTTTGTAGCGTTTCGTCAGCAGAACTATCCAGAAACACAGTAAAAAGCAGTTCAACCCACTGAAGAGATGAATGCCTATCCCTCACAGCCTCGCTTTCATTAAAAATCAAAGGTGGCGCTGCTGTGAATAAGGTTTAAAGTGCGTCATTTTGGACAACACTGTGTAACCCGTCTCTTCCAGTTGCCAGCATTCTCCTCTAGGCTATATCATCGCAGGGTTTGGTTAATACTTGACTTGACATGCAGGGTTGGATTGTTGATTTGGTGTGTTGAAGTTGACAAGATTTCTCTCTCTCTTATCTAAAACCAGCTCTCCCACTATGGATCTCAACCGACTGGTGACATACTGGACTGTATGTATATGCTTCTTGTTGGAATGTCGCGCGGACAAACCCAGTCAAGTAATACCAGACCCCTTACCGGACAACGGTGTCTCTGGTGAGTATATCCTTGAATTACTCTATTATATTGGGGGAAAGTAGCTTTGTCATCATAGATGAGAGCTGGCGGCCATTTCTACAAATAAGATACACTTCAAAACGTTCTGTGCTTTTGCAGCCCCCTTTGCCAGTGCCGTATAGACTTATTTAGAAATTGTATGGGGGTCTAAATGTGGCCTGGCTGAGAATAGGAAGGGAATGCATTCTCTGTTAATCGCTGTGCTCACTTGAGCTGTGTCAAATAAAGGTGCCTAGAGCATCATAGCGTGTACAATTTCTTTCGTAATGTGTTTTAGGCCCTAAAAAGGTAGTCTTTACTGAGAGTTCATCCAGGTTCAACTTGAGAGAAGATTGGGATCTGTTTTTTTCTTGCCCGGACGTCTGATCTATGAAACAAACCAGTGAAGTTTCTCATAGCTTTCCTGCTGTAATTTAAAGCTGCAGTCCGTAACTTTTTTGGGTTAAAATTGATCCCAAATAAATTTGAGCAAGTACATAAACAGCCAGTGTTCAAAACTCTCTGCCTACCTTAGCCTGATTCGTGGTTCGACTTGTCGTGACTGTTTTCCAAGATGGCTCCTGTTTGTATTCGCGAAGTGGACTGTCTTTTATAAAACGGTCTATACACTTACAAAGTTCTCAATGCTTCGTTTTGCATGTATGACCCTCATTATGTTACTGTGTTAGTGTGGGGCTATTTTGAGCCTTATTAGTGGTATTAATTAGCAATCTCTTTATTTATTATATGCCCCCATACATTAGCGATAAAACTCTTTACATTCGATTATCATGAAAACAAATCTCAGAGAACGGTCGATTAGGTACCCAATGTGTTATTAGACCAAATGGGAAATGATGGGAAAAATCTTTCCTGTGGAATAAAATAATTGCTGTAGTGGTTGTATATGGATGGTTGCAATAATTAAAACAAATTGGGAAAAAAAAAGTTTTTTTGCAAGTGTGAACTTTGTTCAAAATTGTGAAGTATGAACTATGAACTGAACTAGTTAATTTTAAAATTTGTGAACTGAACTTTGAACTTGTTCATGTAGAAAGTGAACTTTCCCAACACTGATGCAAATGCTTAAACCATTCATTCTGTGACACGCACACGCACATACAGAGAAAGACTTGCGCCAGTATCGTGTGCGCGCACAAGACAGCTCGCCAGAATACAGTTCGCTTGAACGAACAATAACACACACAGTTGTTCCAAAATGTCTTTTTTGTCGTTTGTCTTACGATGGCTGTAAAGAGATCTCATGAGAGAATGAGGCGTGTGAGATCAGCATCCAATCTGTCTGTGCATTTTCCTTGAGAACCAAGCAAGTTCACTCATAAAACCATTTGTTTATTGTAACACAAATCGCAATGTTGACCTCAATAATCACAATATGACATTTTCCCCAAATGGTGCAGCCTTAGTACTATAATATATATATATATATAAGGTATGTATGTGTGTGTATGTATGCAGGGCTTGACATTAAAGTTTGTCTGCTTGTCTGGACAAGTGGATTTCTCTTTTAAGGGACAAGTGAAATAGAATTTATTCATTTTATTTAATTTATTGTAAGTGGCGACTGATGGTAAATAATGCTATATAATGTACTGACGGTAACAGTTGGCAGCCTCTCAAGAAGAAATCAAAACAAATGAGCGCAGCACACAAAGAAACTCGGTTTACATACTGTGGTAAATTAAGTCACTTATGTTTTAGATGCAGTATTGATTGGTTTTGTTCTGTTTCAGCAGTGAAAATACTTCCAAACAAAGATCACAGCAGAACCATAGCGCATCTAAAAGGATCACTCAACCGTGTTTCATTACTGAATGATTCAACGTTTTGAATGAATCGCTTGTCAAAGATTCAGATCAAAGTTAAAATGCAAGATGAAGCATACATTTAATCAGATTAAGAAAAAAAAGCCATTTATAAAGGTAAAAAAAATAAAAATAAAAAATGCCCTTGAGATAAATATCAGAAATATGCAGATTTAATGTCAGTGCTGATAGAACACTGATGACAACACTGATTACTTGTTTACAACACAAAGATACTATTTTTATTCCGGCCAAAAAACAATACACTTGTCTCTTATTTGTCATATCAATCCACTTACCAAAAATAAAAAAATGGCTGAAAATTGCAGAAATGTGTTGATTTCTAAAGCGTCCCGAAACCAAAGTTTTTGTGTGTCTTTGTGTGAGGTCCCATGAGACAGCATGCACGTGTGGGGCTAACTCAACATTGCCAAATATGATTGGTATGCATTAAAAAAAATTCAGGAATGTAGCAAATCACTGGATTGGTTAAAATAATGAGCAGCCTAAAAGATGATTTGAGTTGAAAGTGGGCTTAATGAGTACACTTACAAGTAGCGCTGCTATCACACACAGTTTACTGTGTTGTCACCTAGTGTTGACACTGGGAAACTGCATGATTTGTTAATTATGCGTGGCATTACACAAATAATATATTTTAATGCCCGCAGGCCCAACTTTGGACTCCCCTGTTTCATAGTCACGACTGTTTATCGCAATCTATTTGAGGAGAATAACACCAATGTTAAGTGGACAATTCTCTTAATGCACTTACTGTTTACATAGCTAGTATTATTACATGTGGTCCTGCTGATGTTAGCGTTTGGTTTGTGTATAATCAGTCATGTTCTGGCTGAATGGCTCTTGTGTAATCCAACTTGAAGATAATGAATGAAATGAATAAATAAATGAATGAATAAAACCATCTGATCTTGATGGCAGCATAATGAATTAAGAGCCCTTTGGGAAAACTGCCTAAAGTCCACTGTGTTTTTCAAAGATTTTGTTGAGCTGGAAAGATCCCAGTCATGAGGTGATACTACACCATTCAGCTACTGACTGAACGAGTTGTACTGTATGTGCTCACTCTTTTTCACCCTAACTTTTGTACTGAATTGACCTGTAGAGTTGCGTGTAACTTTGCAAATCGGACCCAGGTTTGCTTAGTATCTAGGGCTGTCCCTACAAATTATTTTAGTAGTTGAGTAATCGGGCGATTATTTTGCCGATTAATCGAGTAATCAGATTTTTTTTTTTGTTCTGGTAATAAAAACATACCTAAGCAACAATAGCCTTTTAAAATGACTTAAAATGCATAAATAAATAACAATAAGGGCAAAAAGTGTTTTAAATAAATTATCAAAACAAGTAATCATATCATAGTTTTATAGAAAACACTGTTAAAATGCATAATATAATGTAGAAAATCAATTTATGTACATTAGGCTATGTATTATAACAAATGCCTGCAGAAGGGTGCCAACATTCTGGTGTTATACTTTACAGTAGTAACGATCCATTACTCGGGGGCTCCAGACTTTTCCACTGGTTGCACTGACTTTCTCACTTTGTCGCACCAGCATATGATTTGGTCTCACTTTTTTTTGTGCAAGAAGTAGTAGAATAATAACGCAATTCTCGCTCATGCGTTGTAGAAATCTCTTGAACTCTCATCTCAGGCCCAGAAGGAAGAAAAGGAATAGTCGAATAAAGTCGTTATTTTTGTTTTATTTCCACACAAAAAGTATTCTCGTCGCTTGATAAGCTTATAGTTGAGCCACTGTTGTCACATGGAATATTTAAACATTTTCTTCAATGACTTTCTGGGCCGTCAAGTTTCAATCCTTTAGGAGCCTGTGTAGCAGTGATCCACCTCTCAAATTTTATCAAAAATATCTTCATTTGTGAAGATGAACGAAGGTCTTAAGGGGTTGGTACAGCATGGGGGTGAGTAATTAGTGACTTAATTTTCATTTTTTGGGTGAACTAACCCTTTAAAGATATTTAAAATCGCAGTTGACTTTCACTTCATTCATCACACTGGGAATGGAAGTTCAAGTCTAGTGTATTGCATTGTGGGATAGAGTAGCTCACACTCATGGTTTGCACTGTTCTATACTGCACGATCTGGTAAAGGACGTTGATAATCTGGGTAATTGAACATACAGTAGCCCTGTTCTGTGTCCGATCGGGATCGGGAAGTTATTTCACATGAAACTGGTTAATGTAAATATTTCATATTGGTAAGAAGTTTACAAAGCAAATTATCATGTAAGCATTTTTGTAAAAATTGAGTCGCAATTTATTTTTTTTTTTTTAATTTTCCCAATTCTTAATAGACAACGAAACAAAATAACATGTAACATGTTCTGACTAAATGTTAATTGCTGCAGTCTATTTAAATTGATTCATTAAAACTCACATATAATTTTCAAATGAATCCTTTGAATTATTGATTCAATGACATACATTTAAATCACTTGTCGCCACCTACAATGTAATTGACAATCTTTTTAATGAAATATAGTTATTTATAGCAAACGGTGATTTACTCTATTTTGATCTACCGTAGACATCAGTGTATATCCGAGATATAAACTTATAAGCTATAACCCAGTATTTCTGTGATATGAATTATTGCAAGACATATTAAAACATAATACTGTGTGGTTTAAAAGACTGTTTCTGAATTTGTTTCATATACAGCATACACTGTAATTTTTTAATCAAATGAATGCTAAACTATTATTTGGGGTGATTTTCATCAATGGCTACTTAAACTGATCTCAGAATCATGTATGGGTGTTTTACAATGCTTTAATATCTGTATTCATTAAGATGTTGTTCTTAGTCTTTGCATCAGGAAAATTGTATTTGTCACTGAGTATTTTAAAAATTTCGAGCACGCCGAATTTGACAGCAGGCCGAGTTGCGTGATCGTTTAGGAAGATTTTTAAATTGCTATTATTCTAGACAGGATGAAGACATGAGTATTAAGAAGTAACTGAAATTAGCCTTAGATAATAGCTTTCCCAGCACTTATAACAGGCACATGGGAAATGTGGCAACTTTGCCCTTTATCATATGGTCACAAGCTTTTAAGGAAGTTTGGGGTTGCACGATTTCCTGTTCTTTTTTCCTCTATCACCATAATGTGGCTTCAAACTCATGACAAAATGAACATCAATTCATGAACAACCATTTTAAATGTAATCTGACACCATCAATTATATCTGGAGGAAGCCAGCCATACATTGGGTCGTCTATGGGCAAAATGAAGGATGGGGTCAGTAGGTTTTGTTTAAAAATCAATAAATCCTGCAAGTGATCAAAAGTGATCGTAAATACATTTATAATGATACAAATTCTATTTAAAATAAATTTAGTTTGCACAAAAATTAAGCATTTTCAACATTCATATAAGAAATTCTTGAGCAGCAAATCATCATATTAGAGTGATTTCTGAAGGATCATGTGACGCTGAAGATGAAAATTCAGCTTTGTCATCACAGAATAAATTGCTTTAAAAAATAAATAGAAAAAGTTATATTGAATTGTATTTTAGGGGCTGATTTTACGGTATTTTTGCTCAAATAAATGTAGAATTTGTGAGCATAAGAGAATTCTTTAAAAACATATTAGCCTCAAAATTTCATACAGTTGTGTATTTCCCAAAACTGCAGCTCTAAACCCTTATTAAACATTTCATGACCACACCATCCTTCCTATGACCAAAACCTCTCTCAAGGTTCAGTGGAGAGGACCCGCCACGCCTCCACGGGCCTTGATCTTTGGAACGTCATGTCTGTGTCAGGTCTGATAGAGCTCAGTGTCTCCTGAGGCTGCTGGTCGTGCTCCACAGAGCAAACAGCACTGGTGCCACTGGCCTGCTGTTGTTTTCTGCCCTTTCGGAGAAGACAGTGTACCATGAGCTACATTTGTTGCACTAGTTTTTTAGACTCCTCAAAAAGATCTGTTATGTAACAGTGGATTGATAGAAAATAACTTGTGGTTTGTTGTCCTCTCTCTCCTCTTTTTACAGTGTGTTGTATGTAAAATCAGTGTTATCTTGTCTTAATTTAAAAAAAAAAAAAAAAAAAAAAAAAAGATTCCCAGTGTGCACAAATTTACCAGATTACTGGTAAAAGAGTGCTCTGTTGGTGACAGTGCTTGCGTCCTTTTTATTCACTTTTTTTATTACACATTTCTTTGTGAAAAATACTGTAAGAAAAATAGTTAGATGCCATACTCTATTTTTTTTTAATTCATTTTCAAATAATGTATTTCTAGTTTATTAAATATTAAGTTAACACAATGCCATCATGGGAAAAAATTACATCTAAAAATGTATATTTCACAATATTACAGTTTTTTTCTGTATTTGAAGAGCCAAATTTTCTTCTAAAATGATCATTTTTATCAAGTTTGTATATTTAAGTTCAGTAATTTCACTTAAATGGCAATGAAGAAAAATTGCCATTTAAGTGAAATTACTGAACTTAAATATACAAACTTGATAAAAATGACCATTCTAGAAGAAAATTTCAAATGGCATTTAGAGGCTTTTGCATCTGAACTCTTCATTTTTACTCTATTAAAAAAACAAAAACAAAGCCTTGGTGAACATAAGAAGCTTCTTTCAAAAATATGTTAAAAAAAAAGAAATCTATATTATCAACTCCATTTTGTTTCTCATTTGTTAAAAGCAATTGAGAAATGTATAGGTATTGCTCAATTTCTTATAGTTTGCTCAATTTGTGTTGAGTAAAGCATGTTATAGCCTATACGATGATGCATCTAATACCCTCAAAGGTTCTAGTTCATTATACTTGATAAGTGATACATTTCAGAAACCAGATATGATTTTCTTCATGTCCCTTTACCATCTACCAAGCCTTCAAGGTGACTTTTATAGACTAACACTTTCTCTCTGTGTTCTTGGAGCGCTTAAAGAGAAGTCTTCTCTTAGGTTTCAAAATGGCAAGCTTGTGTTATGAAAAGACGGACGCCAAGGTTTATTTTTGGAGCTTATGGGCCTTTTGGACAGGTGCCTTTTAAGTCATAATACTCTGATATAAACAAACACAACCGGATGTATCACAGCCCACATCTAGTACCACACACTCTGATCTGATGAAGTTCAAACTACTTCAGGTTCTCTCACTACTTGTGCAACACAAACCATAGCTTCCTTAGCCCTCAGAACCTTGAGTGTGGCAACACAACAGCTGTACAGATTTGCAGCCTAAAAATACTGTAGTTGCATGCTAGTTTTAGTTAATACCACAGCCAGGTCTATTTTTAGCCCCCCTCATAGTTTGAGCTGGAAACCTCCATGGACACAGTGGGATTTTAGGACAGCTGTTTGGAAACACCTCTGAATTCTAAAATTGGATCATTTTAAACACAGACAGTCTTCATTAGCACACAGTGTTCTCATTACAGAGTGCTTTGTGACCCCTGGACAGTGAAATGAACTATCACTACAGCAACCAACTATATTGGGTCTTTATCTCACCTTTATTTCCAAAGATTGCTTTCTCTGTTTTATGTGATCCTCGATTTGAACGCACTTGTCCTCAATTTAAGGGCAATAAAGCCTCTAGGTTTGTGTGATGGCCAACTAAAAACAATGACTTAATAGCTAGTGGTTATCATTACCCATAGCCTGAATGGCAATAGTGACCTCATAAGCAAGGATGTTGTTTCAAAGAAAGAGTACATAGTTTGATTAAAGATCACAAAGATCAGGAACATGCGGTATAAGAATAAAAGAGGTGTTTAATAGCCTGGTTTGTTTTAGTATCTTGCTAACTGTGACGGTTTCTTTTCTTCAGAGCTTTGCCGCATCGATGAGTTGCTATGCCAGGACGAGATCGCCATTCTCAGTTTTGAGGCCATCCGCAGCATTCACAAGCAAATGGACGATGATGCCAATGGGAATGTGGATGTTTCTGAGACTGATGGGGTTAGTGAATTACTGTTAAAGCTGACTCTTAAGTGGCTAACATAACTAGGCAGTTGATATACCTTTGATCTCTTTTAAAGTCAAGTGTTTGATTAATTTTTCTCATAGCATTAATGTTCAAGTCAGCATGGCAGTAAATGAATAATCTGCAGCATGTTAATACAACTCTAATACTTGCCGCCACTTGTGACTTGTGTGTCATTATACATGTTGTCTGTTCATTTACCCTATGGGCTGCAAGAGTGACTGCCTTGGTTTTGCAAGTAAATGTATATTGTCTCCATAGGCATTAAAGTCATGAACCATGACAACTATCTCTGAGATTAATCACAAAATGATTTGTTTTAAAGCATAACAAATATATAATATAGCTGTATAAAATATAAAAAAAAATGATATATATGAACAAACTGATTTTTTTTTAATTTTTATTAGGGAATTAAATACCCCATGATGTATTGTGTAATGTAAAGGAGAGTACTATAATACTATTGTCTTTTATTGTTTATTCCTACTCTTATAATGCTGATTATAGACTTATTATCTAAGCTCTCGGCCTGCCCTGCTTCAGACCACAGTAACATTAATAAAACTTTAATACATTAGCTCAACCATGAACACGATTTCTGCCTGAGTCCCGTCGGATTGCTTTCCATCGGCTGTGGAAGTGAAGACGAAAAATCCCATGATTCCACAGTCATTCACTGTGTCATCATGCTACGCCTTTATTGTTTTCAATAAACAATCATTGGCTAAACGTACATACTGTGCCTTAATTAGACAAAAATTAAACAGTTAAATAATATTAAAAAATAATATTTGCCTGTTAATAAGGTTTGTTATGCTAGTTTTTGTGGTAACCGCAGCTTCTTTAGGATTAAAGGTTTTTAAGTTTTTCGTCAGTAATTTTGCAATTTAACAGTTTAAAAAATGTATAAATAAGCATTGAAACCCTATTGACATGTTTTTGGTTAAATTAGTTTATGTATACAGAATGTATATGCTCTATGTATTTTTAGAGCGAACAGTCGTAGCCTCAAAGCTCACAGTTTCACTAAACACTAACAATCTCTCTGACACGACACTTTTCCAATCAAACTACCACGAAACAAGCAAAGGTGACAAAACGCAATCAATCAGGATGAAAGTGAAGCACAATGGCATAGATCACAAAGTCAACGAGGTTTGAAGGCAGTGGATGAGTGTTTGGGGTGGTCCCCATCAGGGTCAGGTGCTTGGCAGGACCAATCATAGTCTTCAGCAGATTAGCAGAGGTACCGCCCATCTGGAACGCAACACAGAGAGACTCTAAACATACAAGGATATTTGTATAAACACGAAATATCTCAGGGTCTTAACACTAGTATCGTGCTCAAGTCAACTGCATCCTTCCTTCCTCCTCTAAGGATGTCTGTAAATAATAAGATTTGGCTAATTCATCCTGTTAATGCTCTTTCCAAAGGCCTGGGTTGGTTAAAGCATTAGTACACGATGGGTTTTATCAGCCTGTGTGACATAGTTCAGTAATGTGTGTCATGGTTGGTGTTATCTTGCTATTTGGGCTGCAAGATGCAGGAAACCAGAAACTCACTAAATGCCATAACCGCTAGTGTAGACCCTTGTGTAGGTGTCTCGCAGAAATAATGCTCATAGGCTCAGCCTAACCTGTTACTAAATAAAATCACTGATTATAAGGGATAAAAAGAGAGGAATTTGTTGTCAAAGTCTACACACTTGTGCATGTAATCTGCAAAAGCTTAGAAAATCGTCATGTTTTTGTCCCTCATCTTAAAACTTTGTCGTACTGGTTCTGAGGTAATGCAATTGTAATCATTCTACCACTTAAGGATATGACGTGTTGAATAGTCTTACGACTGGACATAATTGTGCTAATTCTCTACGGTTATCATTAGTCACATCTCAGATGTCATTGATCCATTCCCAGGAGGCTTTCAGTAACAAATAAATGTGAAGCAGTGGTTTCACAACTATTTAGGAGAAAATCTCAAATCTCCAAAAAGCTCCAAATTATCGATTTGTTTATCTAGATGTTTTCCTGCAATAGTTTAGATGCATTCATTTAGCTAATTTCTGTTTGACCATTTGCATCATATTCACGTTATGTTTAACATAAAAATGGGGGCAGCCATTACATCAAAAATTGTATGTAATTTCCATTACACGAGAGTAGATGTTAACTTCATGCTGATTTGTACTCAGCTTTCGCCAAGATAAGCACAAACTAAGACGTAGCTTTACAGTAACCTATGCTTCTCCATCCATTTACGCTTCTTTCCATATGGTGGTGTGACTCCCCTTCTGTCCGGCGTTAACGGCTGCACAGTGTACTTGGTCTCCCTAGTGGACCAGCACGACAACCGTCTGGATTGAGCCGAGTAGGGGACATCTCTAGGGTCTTCAAGTGGGCACCTTCCGTCCTCAGTGTTTCGTCGACTAGCCCACGACACCTCAAGAGGGATCAAGTGGCGTCCCAGAGTCACCCCCTCCGTCCCCGACTCAACTCAGTCCAGCTTACTGACTTCTACATCCCTCCTGCTGCTGAGGTTGCTCCTTTCTCGTAGTTCACATGTGACCTAACCACAATCTCTCAATCCCTCCGCAACCCAACCATACGCACCAACCCGTTTGACTTTGCATTAAAGCAGTTTCAGTGGCAACGGTTCTGTATGGCATACTACCTACCGCAAAACACTATATAACACCCCTCATTCACACAATAAACACAGGAACTTAATGACTGTAATTTCTATGCAACCTATACAAATAAACCAACAGACTCTTCAAGTTTTTCGAGAATTCTACGAAACCGTAGTGTGGCGGCCTGTACACAGCCAGCCAGAATCTTTCCGTCTCAACCACAGCCAGTTGCTGCTCCTCTCTGCTGCTTCAGATAAGTTCTTTACTGTGCGACGCAACACAATTCTTGGCCACCGAATCTGACGTCTCTGAGGAACCGGGTTGTAGAGTGTGCCACAAATCCTCGATAAACCTGGACTCTCTATCCTCGCTGTTCTGCTTCAGTGGCCAGATGAGCATACTGCAGTTTCTTCCTCTCATATGCCTCATCTACCGCATCCTCCCATGGCACTGTTAGCTCTATCAGTTGAACAACGTATGCTGATCCAGATCACAAGACAATATCTGGTGGTAGGTTAGTGGTGGCAATCTCAGGTGGAAAAATAAGCCGTTGATCAAGATCAGCCTGCATCGTCCAGTCCCTAGCAGCTTCCAGTTGTCTTTGGTGAGAATTGGTGTTAACACCTTTTCTTGGTGGTTGCTGCGCGGAGGAATGTTGTCTTCTGTTTTGTTAGAACAGATGGCAACTTATTGGTCATACTATGCTTGCCTTCCAGTGCTAAAGCCAAACATCGCAGTACTTGGTCATGGAGCCAAGTAAACCAACCTTGGCTAAGAGCCACCTTACATCCTGTCAAAATGTGCCTTAATGTGGCAGGTGATGAACACAAAGGACAAGAGGCATCCTCTCCTACCCAGAGGTTTAGGTTCTGTGATGATGGGAGAACATCATATGTTGACTTGATAATGAACCTGATCCTACTCTTTTCCATTGACCAAAGGTCTTGCCAGCCCATCTTGCGTTGTTCCACACTCTCCCATCTCATCCGCTCTCCCTGTTTGGCCTGGGAAATGGCCTTTATACACCCCATCCTCTCCTCCTGCTTTCACACCTCGTTGACTACCAGCTTCCTCCTTTGATCCTGCCCCTTCCTGGCATCCTTTCAGTCGAGCAATATGTTGTGTAGGCGTTCTGTCCTGCTGCATCCAACCTTCTCTAAGCTGCATCAAGGCAAGCCTGATGGAATGGCAACCACAGATTTATAATGATCGTGGTATTCTTGTGAGAGTCCAAAATTTTGAAATGACGATTTGATGGCATGGCATACGAATCAGTTTGCAGTCGCAGAATCAAACCATTAGGTTTGGTTTCGCTACTTGCTGTGTTTGTTTCCACACCTCATAGACTGAGGGCTCGACACCTTTGAGTTGGTATGTCGATGAATATCTTGGCCCGTTTCTGAAAACCATGGCTCATCTTCATTTATAAAGGCTTGGGAAAGGGACAGCGTTTTCAGTGAAATGATGTGTATAATTATTGCTGCTGTGCCATGTTTTGGGTTGGGTTGGGTTGGGGGGAGCCAATCGTCTGCACGCCTTGATGTGTCAGTCGTAACAATGCTGTTGACAAATTTGATGTCTAGAAAGCAAGTGTGATTGGTCTCTATCTAAACAGATTTATGACAAACCTCTCACAGTGGTTGCAGTTTAACCACAGTTTGAAGCTCTTTACTGTCTTAAATATCACTTGATCTGCTCTCTAACCTTCTGTTGCTTTATGTTGTGTAATAATTTTTGCCATCTGCTGTGTCTGAGCAAACTGAGCCTTTGCTCCGCTAGATGTTCACAGCACTCGAAGGCATTAATGCACCCAAAATATCTTAAAACATCATGCCTACCTATAAGATAGACTTTGGTTTCGCTCTTAAATGTTCCCGAGGGCAAACAGTTTATTGTTTTTTGAATTAAGTTCTGCTCATTTGATCATATTGGGCAAACAAACTGTCATTTCCGGCATGGAAACCAAGTGACCGACAAAGTGTTGTATTGCTTGTTTTAGCCAGTTACGATCTGGGTCCATACCTAATGTATGTTAAGGCAGCAAAGGCTTTCTATTATTCATTAGCAAAGTTATTAAACAAAATAAACAAAAAAAACAAACAAACAATAAAAATAGTTATTTTTATTATAAATTTTGTGTGTGTGTGTGTATATATATATATATATATATATACACACAAAAATATAAATATACAATTTAAAATAAATTATAAATGAAAATATATATATATATATATATATATATATATATATATATATATATATATATATATATATATATATATATATATATTATTTTCATTTAGAATTTATTTTAAATTGTAAATTTATATTTTTGTATTTTTATGATAGATAGATAGATAGATAGATAGATAGATAGATAGATAGATAGATAGATAGATAGATAGATAGATAGATAGATAGATAGATAGATAGATAGATAGATAGATTCATTCATTCATTCTATTTTATTTTATTTTATGTACCATGGTACCACTATATTAATTTAAGGGCTGTGATAAGTGTCGCTTAAGTTTGTGCAGACCATGAAATAGAGTACAAGAATTTGCATAGAGCTCATGTACAACTTCATAAAAGAGTGAAAAATAAATGTCTGCTTTATCGTCTAGTGGAGAATATAGCGATTGCATTCCAAATCTTGATTTTCTCATGAATTCTCTGGGATCCTTGAGCTGCTAATTGGAATAGATTTCCTGTTGTTCCCTGTTATCTGACAGTTTTTAAGAGAGGACCTCAATTACCATGACCCCAAAGCCAAGCACAACAGTTTCCACGGTGACGACCAGCTCATCAGCGTGGAGGACCTGTGGAACGCCTGGAAGAGTTCGGAAGGTGAGCGCGACTGTTTCATAATGAGCCATTAGCGCAATTTGCCGTGAGTCAGTTTTCTCACATGCACCGTGGAATATGTTGTACCTTTAATGAAAAACAGTTGACCTTTGCTAATGCTCACATTCTTACAAGTAATTTACTGACTTTAACATCAAGGACAGATTTTTGTGTCTAGTTTTTTGGTTGACTGCACAATGCCTCTCAAACTATTCAGCTGGGCGAAATACAGCATTAAAAAAGGTTAAATATTTCAAATATATCCCAAATTCACGATGTTACCACAAAAAATAGGGCATTTTTTGACATTATAGTAAGCATTCATACTTTAAGTTACCTCAGTACCAGGATAATACGAAGGTAAATGAATATAGAAACCAAATTAGGTCCCACTTTATATTAAGTGGTTTTTAGTACTATGTACTTACATAATATAGGTTTTTTTTAATGTTTTTTCACAGTTAATAAATAAAAAATAATAATGAATCAGTCAGTCAAGTAACATGGTATAATCATAATACTGGTACATTGTACTTTTTGTAGGGCATGTTGTGTTAAGTGTTATCTTAAATGGGCCTCTTAACAGTGAGAGTGTGAACACTTAGGGAGCCGAGCTTTCAACATCTCCTCTAAATCCCGATAAAGTGCAGATCCGATCCAGAACACTCCACCTTCTGAGTCCTGCTCTTGAATGTACAGCTGTGAATGAGATCCCGGTAAAACCAATGTTCAGAAGGGAATATAAGTGTCCTGCAATGTATATACTGCTGCATGGTGTATAACGCTGCGATTCTAGTGGATTGTGGACCAAAGTGTGTTTCAGGTTTGTTTCTGAACAAACAATGCTGTATGAAATCAATAAGTAACTATATTAGTGTAAAGTTTGGACAGCACAATAAATTAGTTCAAGTTCAATTTTATTTATATAGCACATTTACAACAGCCACTAGGCTGACCAAAGTGCTTTACAGAGGCTCGCAAGATTAAAAGAAGAAAAGCACGCATAACAAAAAAAAAAAAAAAAATGAAAGCAACATGGCTAAGAGTAACCGTAAAATAGGAGTAGCAAAAAAGTAAAACCAACTGAGGAAAATCAATATATTGAAGAAAACGGGTAGGTTTTAGCCTATCATGTGTCAAAAGAAAGGATAAAACGCTTCCCAAATCTTTTGTTGATAAGGTCAGCAGCTGATAGCAATAGTTTGTATCAGCCCTCATCCTCAAATCATGAACACAAGTATGCAAGGTTTAAGAAAATATACTAGTTATTCAACAACTAGTCAGTCTGTCAATTCCATCTGTGTCAACACTAGAGCGAGTGGCATATTGTGATGTTTCCTCCCATTATAATCAATGATGCAATGATAATTTAGTGCAATAAAAGATTATTTATACGACCATTCAAAAGTTTGGGGTCAGAGATTAAAAACACTCATTCAGCAATGATACATTGAATTAATCATAAGTGACAGGAAATACATTTATAATGGTACATAAAATAAATGCTGTTCTTTTGAACTTTCTATTAATCAAAGAATCCCAAACTTTTGAACAGCCTATTTATATCTTAAAACTGTTAGTTGTACTATTTAATTGTATATTTAATTATTATTATATTTAATTATAAATATATTAAACCATATATTTAAAAAAAGTGGGTTGCTTGAACACCCACTGCAGTTCAACACAAATGAATGAGAAGTTAGTCACACTTATTACTTGCACTTCATTCATCTGAAAATGAAAGGTCAGGTCAAGCACATTGCATCATGCATATGCTCAGGGTGTGCACTACACATTTTGGTAAATATTATATTCTTGGATCTGACCATAATGTCAGATGACCTAACAATGCCCTCCTCATCATTTTCTCTCTTCTATTTCGCTCTTTGGGTTTTATTCTGCATTGCAGCTCTTCCTCAAAGCACAGCTGAAGAGCCAAGGTTATGAAAGCTGATCTGTCCCAGACAAGCCACCCCCAACACACACACACACACACACTCTCACTGAACACAGTTTTGTGCCAGGGTCAGGCGAGAGATATACCCTTACAGTGTTTTCTTTGCGAGCTGGCAGCATCTGCTTTTTTCAAAGGTGGTGTGACAGTGAATATCTGTTATTTATGCCTGTGTAATATTTATACTCCTGTAAAATCCGATGTCTATATTGGATTGTTGTTATGCCAGCTGTCAATATGCTTAATATGCTTTATTTTTGGTGGGATGGGGGTTCATTCAAATATCAATGGCGAATGTTTTTGATGTCTGAGACGCATTTTAGTAATCGATTTAGATTTCTTTCATCATGGGCAGTTTTGATCGCTTGATGTGTCATTCTCAATGGCCGCCGATTAATTGTGATTATCCAGTATTATCTGACACAATTCTTGTTACAACTAGGCACACAGTCAATGCTTGCAGTGTTTAAGACTTTGTTTTTTCAGTCTGAAGCATCTCTTGAGAGTTTAGGCTAATATTTCAATAATTTAACAACTCACTGGCTTGTTATCAGTTCTCTGATATCGGTTAATAGTCATGTGCCTTGAAGGTAAACTAATAACATATTTAATCTTTTTAGTAAGACTTTTATTTTTCCAAAAGGCACTTGCCTCATGACAAGCAGTTTGAGAAACCTTGTTGTAAGTAGGGATGTCAAGTTTTTTGTGCCTCCGATCAGAGTTTTGAATATTGATCCAATACTTGTAGTTTGCTAGTGCTTGGTGCGTACTTCAAGTACAATAAAGTTATTCATATCAATCCAATGAACACTGGGATATGTAGAGTTTCCCAGGGGTTCAAAAAAGGGGTGACAAGAGTAATTCCAATATAACAACTACTACAGTTATAATAATATGTTTAGGCCTGTGTGTGTACAGTTGTAATTGGAGTTGTCAACCCTCATTGCAAATCAGATTTATTGGCAAAAATTACAGACTTTCAGCTGTTTGCTATGAACAAGTCTAGAACAAAGATAGAACACATGAAATATCTGAACCGGCTGGGTTTGTTGAGTGTCACATGTTAGAAATATGGTTAAGTAAAAAAAAAAAAAAAGGTCCAAAAAGGTAAGAGATCTCATCTCATCATTTCTCAAACAAGGAACTTGATACAAAAAGATAGCGAAGACACTAAATCTTCCTAGAGACACAGTTGGAAGCATAGTTCACTGTTCAAATTTAACAAAACAGTGGTTACTCTACCTGGTCAGGGCAATAAAAGGAAGCTGTCGAAGGCTGCGACCAGATTTCTGAGGATTTCGGTTCTGAGAAACCCCCTCAAATGAGTGAGTGCTTTTGATCATTTATCAGAGATCGAGACCGATGCAGTCCGCATGAAAGAGAGGTGTCTTCAGAATCTAATACTGAAGCTTTTAGTCACACTGCTCTATTCCCAACAGCAGACCTCTGATGATGTAACGATTTGTTTTTTAGAAACCATCACGATTCTTACTAAATTAAACTCCATTAGTCTACGCATTTTAAGTCATATCCACCCACTTTTGGTCACTCATTGTGTTTTGAAACATGTATTCTGATTCATGATGATGTTTATGAGGTTGGCCTTTGTGTTTCTGTTCTCCAGTGTACAACTGGACAGTGGATCAGGTTGTGGACTGGATTATCAGCTACGTCGAGTTGCCACAATATGCGGAAGCCTTTCGGAAGTTGAATTTCAATGGTACCGCTATGCCCCGGTGAGTAAATTAACACACACACTACCATTCAAAAGTTGGGTAAGAATTTTGTTTTATGTTTTTGACATCTTTTACGCCTATAAAGACTTTGATCGAAACTACTGTACAAAAAAAAAAGTAATAATATGATTTTTAAAATGTAATTTATTCCTGTAGTTACTAGATTTGATATGATTTGATCCCTTAAGAAACATTTCTAAATATCAATGTTGAAAACAGTTTTCTGCTTGATATTTTATATTTAAAACAGCATTTATTTGAAATGGAAATGTTTTGCAACTTTGTGTATATCAATTTGACATTGTGCATGATTTTCTGTCACTTGAGTTTAATTTCTTTCAAAATCACTTACAGACATACCCCCAAATAGTACATACTTGTACCATTTGCTAGCTTGTGTTAAGTGAGACACATGTGAGTGTGTGCTTTTAGCTTTTTCACTCACTGATGATGGCTTAGGCCGAAACGCGTCTGTGTGGACATGGTGAATGAATAAATCTTCATGAGATTTAACTAGAGAGTGCGGTTCTTCTTCTTTGCTTTTAGCTTTTAACATACAGGTTAAATTAGTTTGGTCCGAGTGTGACAGAAAACGCTTGACATTTGTCCTAACCAAGCATTTATTCCACTTTTGGTGAGACTAGAATCGCTTGACCCTCTACTTGACCATTTTGAGCATCATCCATGGATTAAAAACATGTTTATTATGCTCAAATATTTAGCTCTGAAACTCGTTTTTCCTAGATTGATGAAAACCTGGCCTCTTAAGTGCCCATCTGCTGCACCTTTGCTTTTATTCATGTCTTTTTTCCTTCTAGATTGGCAATGAAGAATGCCACTCTGACACAAACCGTCCTGAAGATTTTGGACCGGAGTCACGTTCAGAAACTACAGCTTAAAGCTCTGGACACAGTTCTGTTCGGAGCCCCAATGAGTGAGTGTGATTTCCCTCTGGTAGACCATCATGCCATGTCATAAATCTGTCTAATTTGGATGTTTGATATGTTTTTAGAGATCTGTACCAGCTTTTGCCTGCTTAGGTGGAGTTATGCGCAGATGTAATCTATCTTCTCTTTAAAACACATTTGTAGTGTGGTGTCTGTTACATCAGATGATTGACAGTCCAACAATGCAAAAAATGCTCAGAATAACCTTTTGGTCTTCAGATATCTTGTAGTGAACTATGAGCAGTTGCTTCATATGTGAGTGCAGCAGTGCAGTTTCCTTGGATTTAGGTTTGCCATCTGAGAAACAGCCAGCTGTTAGTTAGTTTTGGAGTTTTCTAGAAACCTCTCTATCCTCCAACATGGCATTGTCATGGACTCGGATGTATAAGTGTAAAAAGCCTTTGTTTGTGAGGTCAAAAAGTTGTGGTTTTCACTATAGGCAGAGACCGAGTAGCTGCGGTACCATTGAAAAGTATGTGGTCAGTAAGATTCGAAAAGTCCCTCATGCTCACTAAGGCTGAATTTATTTGATAAGTATTTGATTTAAAACTGTAATATTGTGAACTTTTTATTATTACAATTGTATTATACAATACAATTCAAATAACTTTTTCTATTTGACTATATTTTAAGCTATGATCAAAGCTGAATTTATCATGAGCATTGCTCCAGTCTTCAGTGTCACATGATCCTTCAGAAATCAGATGATCTGATGCTTAAGAAACATTTCTTATTATTATCCATGTTGAAAAGCTGCATAATAATATTTTTGGAAACCTCAATCCTTTTTTTTTTTTTTGATTTTTTGATTAATAGAACGTTCAAAGGAACAGCGTTTATTTGAAATATAAATCTTTTGTAACATAATAAGTGTCTTTTCTGTCAGTTTTGATCGATAAAATGCATCCTTATAAATGTAATAAAGGGCCTTTATTATGCTTTTTCAAATATTACCTTTTAATTCAGTATGTTATATAGCTGTTTGTGAATGTAAAAGTGTTAAAGATTAAAGTGCAAAAAGTTATTGTCTTGTAAAAGAAAGAACCGATTATGAACTTCCGAAACGAGTCATCAGTAATTCAACTGTCACTTCCTGCTCAAACCTATGTAGTTTTTTTAAAATAAATTTGCATAATGCCAGCCTATAGTCTTCTCTCGCTCCCTGTGAACAGTGTTTACTTTGACTTGTCCTCAAACAGTGTACTTGTCACTGAGGCCTGAAAGAGTTTAGTTTGGGTGGGTAGTTTAGTTTTCTGTGCTGTGAATCCACTTTGTTACTTCAAATAAATTTGAAGTAAGACTCAAATGGATACGTTAAAACCGACTCTGTTCATATCACTGACTGTGTATCAAGCGGAGCTGAAATTCAGATATGGTTTTGGACATTTCTTTTCCGATACGCATTATAAGCAGCAGACCAATCACAACAGACTGGACCGTCTGACCAATCAGAGCAGAGAAGACCAATCACAACAGACTGGACCGTCTGACCAATCAGAGTAGACTCAGAAAGGGGGGGGGTCTAGAGAGACCGAATCCTCGAAGGAGACGTTTTTAGAATCTGAGTATTTAGGTGATGTGCAATGTATATAATGATATAGTTATGATGCATGTAAACCTATTGCAAAAGACACAATTAGGAACCGTTCAGGTTCCCCTATTATGCTATTACACATTTGTATGGTATAATGGAGACCAATTTATTGTTATTAGTTCGGTCCATCTGGTCCCAGACCAAAAAGACCTCAAGACATTGCCAATTCTCTGCAATATTGATTAATGCAGTTTCATTCTTTTTTTTTTAATCGTGGTCTGTCTCCTCCTTTTTAAATGGTCTTTGAAACCAATTAGCCAATCTCCACTGGTCTTGAGGCTCGTAGTCATCTGCTGTAGGCCGATGGGAAAGCTCCAGGGGTTGGACATGGAGGGTGTAGACGGTTACTCTGTATTCTAAGCACACGTCTTTGGCGCACTGAAGCGGATGCAGCCAGTGTCTAGCCCTCCAATATGCTGGTGAACAGGTTCTGCGGGTTTAGAGATATTTGTAAAATGCGCAGGCTTTAAGAGAGTTACTTTTTTTTTTTTATTCATTGGCTGCCTTTTGTATTTCAAATACATCTTTCCCAGGAACACATTCACAGATAATCTGTTGCCGTTCAGGCAGCGTTATCTGAAGAATCTGCCTCGACCTGGAAACGGGTTCAGCCTGTGATCCATCAACCTGTGTTGCATGTCTCAGCTCATACAGTAACACTGTGATTTGATTTGTGCCACATCCCAGAATACACCAGGGCTATGAGAGAGAACGGTCCTAGAAGTTGTTTTTGCACCAGAATGAGGGTGTTTGACATTATGGAGGTGATATAGCGCTGCACTAAATACCTCTTTCAGAATGCTGTTCCAAATCTGTCCAAAGAGCTGGTTTTTATGTCTTCCCTTCTTTTATTGGTCTTCACATTTGGCTAAGCCCCGCCCCCCTTAGTTACTGTTGCTATGTCCATCAAACTTCATCCGGGCTTTGGTTTGGTATCAACATGGCTTATGCTGTGACCGCTCTTCCTGCTGAAATGTGTTCAAACTTTTATAAAGCAGCAAATAAAGTGTCCGATAGAAGTAGGCAAAAGGGGCTGCAATATGCGTTCAAAGGCTATATTCAAGACATACAGGTGAAACGCAAGAAACAACAAGGCATCCAAAATAGAGGCAAAAGCATAACGTTACCAGTCACAGTCAAAAAATGAACCACCGTATTTCCTACTAATCGAGACGGAGGCTGGGACTAACAATATCAGGGAGCAACACTGCTCATGCAAACCTGGGTAGGTCTCTATTCACTTCTATAATCGTTATTACAAAGCAAACAGACTACACGAGTACTGTATAACGTTGTATTTATTAGCAGCGTGTGTGCTAGCGTATCAACAACCGGTATGAGAACCGAAATCATAACCTAAAACATTATAAAACGGTCTAACTGGTATAGCTTCACAGTAAGGCCGTGTGTCCACCAAAGCGTTTTTCCACGCTAAGGTTAGAAGTAAAAAAGATCTTTGCGGGTTTAGCTGACTGAGGACGTCCATTCAGTTTAATCCAAAAACGACACTTGTCAGGATTTCACTTCAGTTTTTGGAAAGGAAAAAAGGGACACCCCTCTCCACCTCTCTGGGAAATGCGTATCTGTGTTACAAATGCCCCAGGCACTACGTTTAACCATATTTTTGACAAAACTACGATGGTAATAGCCTGCCGAGACCAAAAATATGAGACGCCTGTGTTGAAAGTCAATGAAGCGCTGTGAGAAAGTGTCGGACCTCTGTGGGAGCTTGTTCTTGGCTGTGCTGTGATTGGTCAGTCTACATTCTAGGGCGTGGCTTAGCCAAAGGCGAATTGTTTGTTTATTATTAATTGGAGGAAAAAGCTGGGTCGACCTGTCAGAGATGTAGTGTGCTGTGTTCTATGCAGACAACTCTCAACTCTCGCAATGTGAACCTAAGAAGTTTAAAATTTGTTGCATCCCTAGCAAAAATGTCTCAGGAATTCTCATGGAGTTTAAAATAAATGTGCAATTTGCTCATTTTTAGTGCTCATGTCATGTTGGTTTATGCACACTACCAATCAAATATTTGAGGTCTGGAAGAGTTTTCTTTTTTTTATAAATTATTTTTCTTTTCTTTTTTATTCAGAAAGAATGCATTAAATTGATCATAAATTACATTAAAGTATCATGTGACTGAAGACTGGAGTAATGATGCTGAAAATTCAGCTTTGTCATCACAGGAATAAATTGCATCTTAAATTATATTAAAACGGAAAACATTTATTATTATTTTAAATAGTAAAAATGTAAATTGTCAAATAAATACAGCCTTGGTGAGCATAAGAGATTTCTTTAAAAACACGACTTTTGAATTGTAGTGTGTTTCCATTAGATGAGTGTATTTTCTTTCTTTTTTTTTTCTCACACCAAGGTTTTTATTTTATTTATTAATTTAATTGATGTATTTAAGAGGTCCATTTCTCTATTTGTCCAAGGATGGAAAATTTTCGGTGTAAGATTCAAAATTATACAAAATTATTTTAAACCCAGCAACCTAAATGCTTGTTGGCATTTACATTTGACGTCCCCTACTCTGGCTCCTATAAGAGAATGTTCTGCTGTTAGCCATTGAGACCGTCTTCTCAGGGGTCCTAACGAGGAGTCAGAGACCGACTCGATAGTCGATACTGAAGAGTGTCTGTATGTGGCAGGTCTCATTGTTTGAGTTGACTCTGAAGAGGAGGATGCATACTGCATGTGACAGCCCAACACCACCCTACCGATCTACTGACACAGATTCCAGCTGCCCTGGTACCTCGGGACAATACCTCCATCAGAAACACACACTCAGTTTTTGTTAAATCGCGGACGTGCTTGACAGGATAGTTAAAGCCTACGCTTCAGTGTTTAACAACAACAACATTTGAGTAATCGGTCTCCTGAGGGTTCCATCAAAGCCTTCTGCTTTTGAGATTTGTTTTTAATGTTAAAGCCATGGTGCAGCTGTTTGTGCATGTTCTAGACATTTAGCTTGTGGTTTGCATTTTGGTGTTGCAGGTTTAACCAAGATTTAACTTTGCAAAAAGTGTTTTAGTATATGGCTTTTTGTTCCTCAAAGCTTTCGAGCTGATTGCAGACCAACTTTTTGTCTTGCTCCCTAGAGGATGAGGAGTTAAGTGTTATTTTCTTCAACGAAGACTTCATTATTTTTAATCATGGATCTGTACAGATGGAGTAGGAAGTTGAGTAAGCCAGTGTCAGGACTGTGTGGTGTCCCCGAGGTGGTTGTTAGGTTAACTGTCTTATTTAATGGCACAGCAGTGGTAAGTATTGCAGGACTGTGACCACAGAAGCCAATTCAACCCTTCAGTCAGGGGTGTGAAACGACTGATTTCTGCAGTACCAGTAGTACAGAGAGTACTGGTGAATATTTGGTAGACGCTGCTTTCAAAACGGTCTCGTTCATGCTTGTTTGGGCATCAAATGTCCTATTTACAGCATGTTTTTTTTTTTTATAAACGTTGAGCATTGTAGATAATCACAATCATATCTGTTGAAATGTTTGGGCTGTGACAACTGTGCTTGATTCTTTTTTTTTTTTTTTTTTTTTTTTAACCTGTTCTCATTATGAGGATTTGCACCGGGTAGTTCTATGAACCTAATTTCTATGAACTAGCCACCAGGGTGGTTCCCCTAGGAATGTTTTCCTGGTTGCATTCGCACCGGCGTAAGGAACTCTGAAGTGACGTAATCCACGCTTGTTGTGACGTTTATTTTTTTGACGGCACTGAGAACTCCAGCCAGAGCCTGAGCTCACACTACTCGCATTCTGCATATTCACTAGTTTACGATCTGTCTAAGTGTCCTATCTAATACATTATTTGATAGAACTGTTATACACAGAAAGTAGACCGTATATGAAAAGGCATTAGCTTATGCCGTTTGGTTGATGTCCAGTATTGCTAGCTGAGCAGAAATACATAATCATGTTTGTCTTGGTCCCCTCAAAGTTGCATTGGTTTTTTCCTCAGCGTAAAGATTAAGAGGCCCATCTTTAACTGTTTTCCATGTTCGAGTTAGTTTCTGAAGTAAATATATCTAGGCTATAATCTCTGTTTACACAGCTTTTTTTTAAATGGCGGGTGCTAATGTGTCGTGTGCGTTCGGCCAGCCAATCAGCATAAACTAACGGCACTGGCAGTTCCTAAAGTGCTGGATTGGACCTTACTCTGCAGTAGGAGATAAATTAGTTCCTCCAAAAGCCATTCCAAGAACTAAAATCGTTTCTAGTTCCTGCGGTGCGAACACGCCAAAAACGGGTACTTCCACCAATAGGCTAGTTCTAGGAATAAAGGTGTCACGATTTCGTTTTAAATCGAAATCGATCGAAATCAATTCACAATCGTCGATGCTGCCACGCCCCCATGCCACGTCCGTTTGGCTTGCCAAGTGGAAAAAACACGCGTGTTAAAGTGCTGTGAGTCTATGGTCAACCTCCCCTAACTTAGCTACTACCATTCAAAAGATAGCATGGCAATTACAGATGCAGGAGACCCATCGACAGAACTTGAACCCTCTCCTCTTTCATTGAAGTCGCAGGTGTGGAAGTTTTTTTTGATTTCCAGTGAGTTATGTTGACAACGTTCGCGTTGCAGACATCCCAAGTCTTGCGGAAGTTTCCGGGAGTCTCCCGCATATTGATAGCGGCTCCCTAATGCTCGCAAATTAGGTAAAATCTCCCGGAATCTAGAGTGAGCGAGCAAGAGCGAGCATGCATGTCGAGACAGAAAAAACTGTGCTCCAAACCGTATTGCGCGTATGGCAGAGAGGGAGAAAGTGAGAAACCTTGCGTGTGTGCCTCATGAAGCGCATGTAAGACAGAAAGCATCCTGATTGGCCGATTGATAAAAATCGAGAATCGAATCGAACCTTAGAATCGAAAATGTAATCGAATCAAGGATTTGGAGAATCGTGACACCCCTATTAAGGAACTATGAAAAGTTTCCTCTGGTGCAAAAGCCTCTATTGTGTAGAATGCAGATCAACATCTAGTACTACAACTGACAGCTCAAATTCACACTCCCTCACAAGGTGATGAGACACGTGGCAACACAGGGACCACAACCGATCTAAATTATCCAGATAGAAATTTGTTGCCCATTCTCAATGGAAGTAACAATCGCTCGGCAAAATTGCTCTAAAAGTTGCCCTGTGTATCATCACCTTTAAACTGTACATGGGCTTTGTTCCGAAAGCAGTTGAACTGCCTATGTTGGTAGCATTTTAAAGCATCATAGACACTCTTGATGTGAATGCTTTTTTCTGAATATATCCTTTGTAACTATCATTCAATCCTGAGAAGTATCAATTTCCAAAAATATTGTCTAGTTTTCAAAGGCTATTTTACCAATTCTTTGTGTGCTGTATTTTCATGCTTTTTTTAGAGTTGTGTATCACTAACTTGGTAACATGCTAACAGCTGACTACATCTGCCTAAGTAGACCGCTTACTAGGTTTTGGAATAGAAGCACTGTGCATTGATTCTCTCTGCTTGTTCTAGCTTAAATTTTTGTGTAAAGAAATGTCCATGGTCATTTAGTAACATGCCCCGACATGCAGGCATATTTACTCCATATTTACATAGTTTGCTAAATTAGTACTGAAGTATGTACTGGTTTCTGTCTTTCACAGTGAACAGACATAACCATCTGAAGGACTTCATGCTGGTGGTGTCTATAGTCATCGGAATGGGAGGTTGCTGGTTCGCTTTCATCCAGAACCGGCACTCTAAAGACCACATGAAGAAGATGATAATAGACCTTGAGAGCCTCCATCGGGCAGAGCAGAGCCTTCACGACCTACAGCAGAAGTGAGAACCTGTTCGGCACTTTCTTTATTTTTTAGTGTGAGAGGCTTTAAAACACTTGGCTCAGGTGTAAGGCATTATTTGTCAGTCGACTAGGTCGATGCAATGTGCACACCTGCAAACTTGTCGCTTTCCGTTTTCTTGGTCATTTACGTGAATAACGTAGAACCGGAGAGTTTTTTTGGGGGGGGGCGGGGGGGGGGGGGGTTGCTGCCTTTCATCTGCATGCCATGCAGGCTAGAATTGTGAAACATTATTTGATAAGTCTTAAAATTGACATTTCTCTGGGCCAATCGGAATCTTAGCCCTTGCATCAGAATCATGCCAAGTCAGCCATTGGATGAGACACGCGAGTCTGATGGAAACTCATAACTTGAGTTTCTTATAAGATTCTTATGGAATCTTATGTGAAATTTGAGTTAAGTCAAGCATTTTGGAGCAAAAACAACATCTATTTGTTTGCTTAATTCAGTTAACATTAGCTACGACATTTTTATGTGATATAATATTGTATTGTCGCCGTCATACTAATGAATTGCATTAAGCTATAATAAAAGTGGTACCGCCAGACCTGGAGATTGGCTAAATGGTTTCCAAAACGAAAAAAAAAAAAAAGTATTGTTTTACTCAAGGGAAGATGGAAAATGAGCTTATAAATATCCCTGTAATGTTAGTTTGGTTTATCGTAAGCCAGGTGCTCTGCCCTGCGTTCAGAGATGTACGCTACTACTCGAATTCTGAGCTACCCTGAATATTAGCTTGTCATGCGCGCTCACGTGTTAGGCTGTCATTCATGATGTGGGAAAGTTAAATGTGATTGTTTACACAATAGCTGATGAGAGAGTACTTCATTCTCAGTTTTGAAATATGTGGCAAAGCAAATAAACTGCAAAACTGTATTAACTTCTGAAAAAAATTCTTCCCAGAAAAGTTATAATTTTGAAAATGTTGTGAAAAAAAAGTTATTTAGCAAAAAAATGAGAAATAAAAGCACAATTTGACACATATGTAACATAAAAAAAAGTATCATAAATGCCCAATGTCACATATGTAACATTACAGGTCTTTGACAAGTAGAGGTTGTATTTAAAAAAAAAACAACAACAACTGTAGAAACATGTTTTAAGGGTCAATTTAGTCTGTTTTATATGCCCCATAATTTTCCTGTAAGGATATTAAATTAAATCACAAAAAAAAAAAATTGAGATTGGGGCACCCACCCCCACCCCCTGCAACACCGTCACCTTTTTTACTCTGAGGAGTTTGCGGGTCTGAATGTGTTTGATGCAATAAGCACCACAGTTTTTAGTTGCATGATGTTAACCTAAACTTTTGAACTTTTTGAAACTTGAGCAGCTTACTTTGATATTTAAAATAACCAGGCTATGAAGTAACCTAGACCTCCAGCTGAGCCTTGTACTCCTGTTTACGGTTGACAAAAATACTGAAATATGCATTATGCACAGAAGCTCGTAAAGTGAGGATGGCATTGCATATGATTTACAGTCACAGTCTAAACTTGAGTGCCTATGAGCTTTGATGTCAGATAGATTTGTCACCGTTTTTACAGTGTTTAGTGAAACAGGCCTTCCCTTCTGCGGGAACAGGATACGGAGCCGCATTGGGAATAATCGGCAGGAGAGAACATCTGTTTGAGAAACAGAGAGAGGACTGGCCAGAAACTTTATAATTACAACACTTTCTTTCTGTTTCAGTTACAAGATGCCAAACTTAGTCAGTTTCTTGAAGCCTTAGTCAGTTTCTTGAATAATTGTATAGCCATAATGGGTAATTCTACCAAATGGGTTTTCTTCCTGTCCATCCTTTTTAAAAACAATGTTTTTGTTCATTTGTGCATTTTCTCAATGCATTAATCATAGCCTAATGTCACCTTTTTCCCTTTACTGTTATCATGAGAATGCCTTTTTTGGCTGGCCCTCACCCATTTTGTTCCTAGGGCCCTGTTTCCACCTGGCATTAAGACGTTTTGGTCGATCGGATCGCGAGTAGACATGGGAGACTCATACCCGTGTACACCTGGTGTTTTAATTTGTCCACTTTGGACCACTTCCATCACAATTTTTTTCAAGGGGAGGCTCACTGCATTTACATATGAACGCAAAGGTGATGTCAGAAAAACATGCAGAAAACTTTTGTTTACTTTGATAGCCGCCAGACCACAGCGAATGCTGTGAGGGCATGTTAGAAACAGGAAATCATGGCACTACAAACCAAACTTAGATCTTTATTTTAAATCATTATTTTAGATCTTCAAACCAAACACAGACCTTTATCAAGTTTAAATCCTGTCTGGCCGGCGTGCTTCCCATAAAATTTACACATTAGGTCAATAGCTGGAGAGGCGGTCCTTTCAGGCTGTTCGAACGCATTTGACAACATGAGTGTTTCCACTACGAAAGCAATCCAGTCATATGAGTTTTCAACTTCCTTGATGTGGTCAAAAGTCGACAAGCTCTAAACCTTTTAAACACCATTTACATGTGGTTAAACGTCTTTCTCTTATTGGCGGAAATGCTGCTTTACAAGAGGTTATAAACGGGGCAAAGTTTCTTGCTATTTTAGCAAATTAACTTTTTATTAAAATAAAATTGCTAATTTATTTTAATTGATGATTCTCTGAAAGACTTGAAGTTCTGTTACCAAGCTCTGGTGATTTCGTTGTTTTGTATGGTAAACTGACAAATGAAAAGTGCACATTTGTTGAAATATTATATTTTGCACATGTGGTACTTGTAATTTCAAATTAAACTTCTTGAATGCATAATTATATATAAAATATTTATTTTGATATGGCTTTATGCAATTTATTTACACTTGTTGTTTGAAAGACGTCTTCCATTGCGTAGAATGACCCTGAGAATATTCTCTGTGAATATTTGCCTGCATGCGTTGATTACGTCAGATGGCTGTGTTTGCTAACCGAACCGTTACGCATACGCTGAGGAATCTTTAGGAATGTGGGAACGCAGATAATGCTCTGATCCGCCAATACTTCCGCTAGCTTCCTGTTGAATCCTCATGCAGACTCAACGTCTGTCACCTTTGAAAGAAAGACACAGAAGCCCGTGTGTCCGGAGGGCTCGGTGTATCCCTTAAACATGTGAATGAAGTGTGAGCGTGTGTGTGAAGGGGACAGGGCAGTGGAAACTATGCAGAGTGTGTTTGTTACATTGGAGGACATCCAGCATGTTGTGTTTTGACAACCAGTCGAGTCACCGGGTCACGTCTATGGTGATTTGGTGGGTGAGAGGCCTGCAGTGCTCCGGTCGGCCCTGAGGGAAGTGATTAACCCCTGGATACTTCGAATCATCTCAGCTTAAACTTAAGGATAAAAATAACAGCAATGCCAGTTATGACACACATGAACGCAGGTCCTTGTGGGCTGACGTTTCATAAGTTAATTTTATTAGATGTAGGCTTGTTTTGGGAACATTTTGAGATCAAACTAAATGTCAGTACACCTTTTAAGGGAGCTTCATTAGCCGTGTGTATGGCTTTTTTTCTCCATTTGAGACGTATTGTAAATGCTTATCAAGGCTGTGGCAGTTGAGTCAGGCTTTCCAACTGTTTAATGTGTAGGTGTGTTGAGGTGTTGACAAACCTCTTCTCGAACACTGCCAAATTATCACATGCGCAATTCCAGTCAGAAATGAGGCGTAATGTAAACTACCCTTTCTACGTAGCACTTAACAATTTAATTTGATTAGAGTCACATGTTTTAAAGCAGAAGTTTACATTTGCGGAAGAACATTTGTGATGCTTGCCTAAAACGGACTCCCTTGTGTGTGAGGGGCATTGCTTTCCAGCTTTAGTGTGTCATTGTTTCAAAGCACACGCTTTCAAGAACAATACTGTTATCTTCTCTGTGTAAACTACAGAAATGTGTATTTGTGAACAGTAAGAGCATGTGTGTATTATGTGTTCAGTAGTGTTTCTTTACAAAGTGCCAACTAGGGATGCATGATTTATCAGCTGATATGTTCATTTTTAATGCTATTATGGACCCGATAAGATAATTTATAGTTTGCATTCGCAGACACTTTGTGCAGAAATAAGTTGTCGCATGATCTGATTAATCTCATAAGGTTTCTTTGAGTCATCCCGAATCCCGGTGTTCATTCAGCTCATCATTTTAGATGTTTCTTTTTCAAAAACATTGATGCTTTAATAATAATAACCAGCACTTTTATTCTCATATTATTTTAATTAACACTATGGTTTTATTGAAATCATTTCATTTTTGTCTGTGTGGGGGCTATTCCATTTCATCAATGCCACATGCATTTTGATTCTTTTTACACAAGTAATGTTGTCCATTAAGGCAGTGTTTTATATCATTCTAAGGCAATAGATTATTATGTATGTATTTATTTATTTTAGAAAGAAAGTTGGCCATAGGAGCGGACAATTTATTTTAAAAGATAATGAATCTTACACTGGCTCAAACTAGGCCACTGTACTGTATGTTTGATTTGTTGAAGTGCTTGGGACATGGCTTTTAATGGTGAGTCTTTGTTGTATGAAAGGGATAGTTCACTTTGAAATTAAGTTTTGGTATGTTTTAGCTTACCTCAAGGGCATCTAAGATGTAGGTGTCTTTGTTTCCGCAGTATTTTTAGGTATTTTTAGGTCAAACCGTTCTTGTCTGTCAGTCATATAATGGAAGTATATGGGGTCCTCCTCAAAGAGCATGCACAGAGAAGTCCAAATTAAACATGATTTAATGACTCGTAAATGTAAGTACACATTGATGGCCTAAGACACGAAACAAGCTGTTTGTGTGAGAAAAAGAACAGTATTTATATCGTTTTTACCTCTTGTAATCACAGCCACGTCCAACTGATCTGAGGGCGCGGGCGCTTCGGTCTGCGCAAGCGCTGGAAAGCGCCCGAAGTGATCTCTTGCGAGGTTTTGGAAAAAAAATTCAACGTTGTCTGTTAATATATCGAAATCGTCTTCCATTGCGATTTCCTGTATATCTAAATATGTTTAGATTTTCACAGTGAAGGGTAACACTTCCAAAATCTCTGTAAATAATGAGTGACGTACACGCGCGAGATATGACTTCTGGCGCTTTCCAGCGCTTGCGCAGACCAAAGCGTCCATGCCCTCAAATCACTTGGACGTCCGGCATTATATGACTGACAGACAAGAACGGTTTGACCTAAAAATATAAAAATTGAAAATACTGCGGAAACAAAGACACCTACATCTTGGATGCCCTTGAGGTAAGCTAAAACATACCAAAAAATTTATTTCAAAGTGAACTATCCCTTTAAGGCTCTCAGAAAAATGACAATTTAGATTTATTGGTCAATATATCGGTTATTGTCTTTTAAATATAAAGGATTATCGTTTATTGGTATCGGCCAAAATGTTCATATCAGTGCATCCCTATAGCTAACTACTAGCCTGGCATGCATAATACAGCGTTTTTAGTTGTTTTTACAGATCCGTGTGTACGGGGATTTGACAATGGCGTCTATACACAAAATTAAAAAAAAAAATTATACGTTTTTAGTACATTGTGTAAACGGCCTCAGATTATGCACATTCTGTTTTCCCATTTTTACTTGGGTAAATAGTATTTACGTTATCAACATATTATTTGTTATTTTACTTAAAGCTGAAAAGTATTGTAAACAGCTGAATAGAAAAGTATTGTCTTCATTGCAGCCTTTACTGTGACTGGCTCTTTCTTGGCAAATCACTAACTGACATTTATTACTTGGTTTTAGGGCTTTTTATAGATTTCAAAGTAAGTTCAATTCCTTTGTGTTTGAGATGAGCTCACATGACTTTCATTCTTAAACCATCTCTTGTTCTCTGCCACTTTTCTTACATGCTTGCTTTACCCTCGTAAAATCAGACGTGAGAGAAAGTGTCCTCATCAACCCGACAGTTACATTACCCGTGCTTATCTGAGGCTGCAGCTGCTCGTTTGTTGGAGAGGAGGAAAAGTTTAATTAATCATTGCATGCATAGTCTAGTCTATCGTTAGTATTGTCTATTGTTTTCATAGTCATATTTTCACCCACACAAAGGAATGTGTTGCTTAAATGTGTGAGTAATGTGCGAGTTCTTTGCAAAGATGCCGTGTCATACGAAAAGTTTTGTACACATAAAAGCTGGTGAATGAAAGATTGAAAACAATTAAAACTTTAGATCTCCCGACTATAAAAACATCAAGAGGCTTGCTAGATATTTGTTGTTGGCTTTTAGGGCTGAGGTTGCATTACTTGTTTTGGAGGATGGTGAATGGCAGAGGTCAGGTTTGGTATCAGATTTCCCATCTTAGCTGTAACTTCAGATTACCTTACACTAGTACGTAATACTTCACTCAAAGAAAAAACTTCACCCCAAAACACCTGTTTCTCTTTCCGTCAGCCCTCCGAATCCTTCTATCTGCCATCTTCTGGATGCCAACAAAACTGCAGGAGCCATTCAACAACCGTATCTATTCTTTTCTAGTCTGTAGGGTTCAATAAGTAAAAAAACAAACAACATTAATTTCTCTAGACGAATTGGTTTTTAACACTAACATAAGATTTTGAAAACTTTTGAAAGTCAATTTGATTTAAACTTGGTACTCATAATCCTGGAGGGATACATATCACGTCTTCTGACTGAGTCAGTCCAGTGTCCCCTAAACCGTTGTCATTTGATATGCTTCGAGCGAAGCCCCCAGACAGAAAAAGCCTCTTCATTTAAGTGGAGATTGATCTGGGGGTTTATATAGACATGACTGATTGAATCGTGCCCTGTGTTTCCTCTCTCGTTCGCCAGGAAGAATCGTTAATCCTGTCGTAGCTCAGGAAAGCCTAGAGTAGACTTTGGTTGCAGGTATTTTTCCACTCCCCCTTCCTGCTTGTTACATCATCGTTACCTTGATAATGACGCCTCTGCTTTGCAGTCAGACTTTCCTGTGAATGTAGTTTCCGGCTGAAAATGCATTCACCAGGTGAACAGGATTATGTTTCTTAATGTTTAGTTATTTTATCCTGCTAATGGGCTGTTTAAAATGGATTTTTATGATGACCTTTTTTTTGAGAGTTATTACCAAAATGGGTAATTGCAGGTAGTTGATAGACCAATATAATGCACAAGTTACTAAGACCAATATACTGCACATATTAATCGGTCAGTAGTAGAGCTCTTTGCGATGATAAATAATGAACTTGCACTGGCTCTAGATTTATGCACATTTTATTTATAGTATACATGCATTACATTTTTGCATGTCAATTTAGTGTTTTTTCTTGCCTCAGTTCGTTTCAGAATTATGCACATTCTGTTTCCAGACGTTGTATTATTATTATTCAAGTTATTCTTAATTGAGTAAATGTTTATTATTATTATTATTAACACCATCATCATCCCTTTTTTCAACTTTTCAAAACCACTAACTTAAACTATTTATAATAAAACAAAAACAGGTTCTGGACCCTATTGTATATGTAGTCTTTCCTCTAGATATTAGCCATTAATAACCCATACAATCTAAAAAAATGTTGGGTTGTTTTAACCCAATTTTGGGTCAGATATTGACAAACGCAAACATTGGGTTAAAAATGTAACCCAATGGCTGGGTTTGTCCATATTTGACCCAAAATCAGTTCAGTCCTACTTGAAATAAAGCTCTGTCCAGTTGACTTGACAGACTGCATCAGTGATGACTTTTTATTTATATATATATACAGGAAAATATTTCTTAAATATATATAAGCACGTGTGTATTTTTATATATATATATTTATATATATATATATATATATATATATATATATATATATATATATAAATTATACACAGTGCACCCACATATATTATGTAAACACAAACTTTTATTTTGGATGCGATTAATTGTTTGACAGCCCTAATATATATATATATATATATATATATATATATACTTATAAAGCAGTCATATTTGTCTTTATTGTGCTTAAAACCTGCTTTTGAGTTTCAAAACTCTTTGAAACTTCAGTCGTGACCCTGAAGCTAAAAAGAGCTCAGCTTGGTTTAAAGCTCTGCCGTGATTTAGTGTCATTTTTCTGACAAGAATTTTATCAAGCATGTCTTAGTTTCCCGTTGTCACTATGTTTTATTTTAGCATCTTAATCCCTGCATCTCTGTTACTCGAATATCTGTTTGCTGAAATGTAGAGACAATTTAATTGGCACAAAAGGAGTGAGACATCATGTGATTTGCTGAGAGCTTAAATCCGCTCCAATAACTGATGCTGAAATGCTGAAAAATGTTGGTTCTTAGTCACGTAGTTTAAAACTGAACTTTCTGTGTATGTGTGCTCTGGTGTATGCATTTACATTGTATGTGTGTGTGTGTGTATATATATATATATATATATATATATATATATATATAGTGTGTGTGTGGGAGTGATGAGGGTGAAATTCGAGGCCCAAATTAAAATTTGTGTTGCCGTCATGAACACTGCATCTGAGTACATACACAAGGCCACAGCTCTTATGTTAGCAGTGTTTGACTGGTTTGTTGCATCCAAAACAGGGCTTTAAATAGTAACGGATATACTGAAATACTTTCAGAAATCACTCTAGATGTCTTGTTAGCTGTTTGGTCATACGTTTAATGATTAAGCTTTTGTTGTGACTACATTTACATTTTACATTTGTCAGACACTTTTATTCAAAGCAGCTTACAGTGCATTCAAGCTACACATTTTCCCTGGGAATTCGAACCCATTACCCTGGTGTACCTGACATCATGCTTGACTCTGACTGTTCTGTGACTCATTTCATGATTTTTTTCTTTAATTCGCCTCCTCGCAGGCTACAGATTGCTCAGGAGGAGCACCGTTCAGTGGAGGTGGAGAAGGTGAACCTGGAGCAGAAGATGAGGGACGAGATCAACTCCGCCAAACAGGAGGCGCAGAGACTGAAGGAGCTCCGGGAGGGGACTGTGAACGAGCTGAGCCGACAGAAATACGCAGAGGAGGAGCTGGACCAGGTACGATTCAATTCTCATTTATTTGTGTAACGCGTTTTTTTTTTTTTTTTTTTCACAATACATATCGTTTCAGAAAATGCATGCATCTACATTACAATTTATAGTGATCTGTTATTATCGGAGGTGATTGTGTCCAAGCAATGGATTTCAGAAATGTACATAAATAAATCATGCTAACAATGTATTCACTTAAACAATCTATTAATTTAAGGCAGAAACAATGAGCATGTTGATAACAAAATGACTAGTGTTGTATAGAAAATTTCACATTTCAACTGTCCCCTAATAAATATGCAATAAGTTGAATTGTGGTTAGATGTCACTGGTGTTATTTGTCTAGATCTCACAATATGCTGTCATGTGTTGATTCTAATTGAGTGGGCATTCTTCACGAAATAACGGAACGGAAGTGGGTGGAAATGGTTGTAAGATGATCTCAAACTTTGAAGTGAAGTGATGTGATGTGAAGGCCATGTATGGTAACCCATACTCAGAATTTGTCCTCTGCATTTGACCCTTTCAAGTTGGTGTACACACATTAGGAGCAGTGAGTTGAGAACGCACACACGCACACACACTGCAGCGCCCGGGGAACAATTGGGGGTTAGGTGCCTTGCTCAAGGGCACCTCAGATGTTTCCTTGCAGTATTGAGAATCAAATTATTGCTTCAGGTTACACTTTGGGTTAAAAGTATGACTCTCTGACCGTTAGGCCACGTAATTCTACTGATAAACCTTCCTCAGTACAGAAAAAATCATGTTGCCTTTGAGTATATTGCCAGTGCTGTTGCATAAGGGACAGTTTAACACTTCAGATTTGAAAGAAGAAAAAATCTTTGCAGAACCTGATCAGAGGATTGTAACAAGCCCCAATGTGTCAACGGCAGCAAAGAAGGTTCCTTTTGTGAGCATAATTGTTTTCAGGCTTTTCATATGTAATGTGAATGGAATCCACAAGTGGCATCTCTGGAGAAAAATAGGCCTGAATTGGATGAATTGTTTTTTTTTTTTTTTTTTTTTTTTTTTTGCATAGGCCTATGTTGGCCTATTAAAACCCAGGCACTAAGTGGGTATTCTGGGTCAGAGGACGGCACAAATCTCTGTGGGTTTTTAGCTCATTAGCGTTGCCCCATAAGAAAAGGGGTCTTTCGGCTCTCCGACCCATCATCCCACTCCCCAAGACCCTTGCTGGATGATATCTGTATATTTACCACTAATGGAGGTGTTGATTAATTGTGTTTATCTTAGTAGTAGTTTAGGTTGTTAAGCTTATTTGTGGCTAAGTAGCATCTCGTCGCAACAAAATGTTTCAGGCAGTGTAATTTATGCTGTTTATTCTCATTAGCTTGCCAAATGAGTCATTCATGAGTCACGTAAATGAGCTAATTGTCATAATCACACATGCAGATTAGGGGATAAATAGAAGAGGTTGAAAGGTTGAATGATATCTTGCAATTTCAGTCCCCAAGCATTTGGGTTGTTGTTTTCTAGTGTTTACAGCGGTCATAGGGTTATATGCAAAATAAATAAAATATAAAGACATTTCTATTTCAGCTAGGTGCCAAACATTTATCATTTTTGTGTAGTT